CCAAACGCAGTGCAAGCACTAACTCTAACCCCCGCCGGCAGCCGTGCCCATCAAGTTCATCGCCGAGCCCTACATGTACCCCATGGTGCGCAGCGCTTTGCACCCGTCGGGCAAATACGCGGCCTTCCAGTCCTCGGACAACCAAGTCGTCGTGTACGCATGCACGGACCGCTTCCGCCAGAACCGCAAGAAGAGCTTCCGCGGGCACAACAACGCCGGCTACGCCGTCGACATCGCCATCAGCCCCGACGGCCAGTTCGTCTCGTCGGGCGACTCGGGCGGCTTCGTCGTCTTCTGGGACTGGAAGACGTGCAAAATGTACCACAAGATTCACGCTAGTGACAGCCCTGTCGTCAGCACCGTTTGGCATCCCAGGGAGACGAGTAAGGTCGTTACTGGTGATTTGAACGGTGTGGTTAAGTACTGGGATTAGCGGGTGCCTTGGTGAGCGTGGGAAGAAGGTTGCTTGCCTACCTACCTATGCGGATGAGCGGACGAGAGATGATGATACCATAAGCGCCTTTTTTTCCAAGCCCGGCCTTCCGATCGGTGCTCGGCGCGATGAAGAAGAAATGCATACAATACATGACATGTGACAGCAGGGTATTAAGTTTCAGGCGTTATTGGCGCGCAGCATGTTCCCGAAAAAAAGAAAAAAGCATCCAATAGAGATAAAATGCATGGGCACACGAACAGAAACGACATGCCACAACACAGCCAAACTCAAGATACACAAGCGTCCGTTGCTCGCCGTCAAGCGATCTATACAACAATGAATGAGCGGGTCGGCGACCAAAACAACAACAACAACAACAACAACAACAACAACAACAACAACAACAACAAAACGCAGTCCCAAACCGATCCCATCCGTGTCCTAATCCGTGTTTCCCAGTGTAGTAGCCATGAAGCCCAGTATTCCCAGCCAGCCAGCCCACTCAACCATATCAATACGCCGGCATGCAACAAAGAATGCCAATAAAAAGAAACCCCAACACTCCCAACCATCTAATCATCAAGACCACCATATCCACACATCCACCCACTCGCCCAACAAACTAGGTACCTACTCATCAAACAACCCCCTCCCGCCACCCACATGCACGGGGCTCAAGCTCCGTCGCGCAAGCAGCAGCTTCTGCCTAAACGGGGTAACACCGAGGCCAGCGCCGCGCTCGTCCCCGCGGTCAAACAAACCCCGGTTCAGCTGCTTCGGCGGACACGTCTTCTGCGTAATGTTCTCGGCGTGCAGGAAATACGGCGTGCCCGGGCTGACGGGGCCGAACGCCGTTCCCGCAGGGCTGCCGCGCTCCACCGTGCCCAGCAGCTCGAACTGCGGCACCGCCGTCGGTGTCGACATGCCACCACCAGCGGCACCCGTGTTTTCCTTGCCAGAAGCCGCGCTGCGGATGTCACCGAAGGGGCTCAGCGGCTTCGAAGACGCAGCCGAGAACGGCGCCGCGGGCTTGGGCGTCAGGACGAGCGTGAAGGGCGTGCCGAAGGCGGAGCCTTTGGCGCTCTTGGCCGGCGTCTGTCTGCTCGGGGTCTTGGGCGCCATCGGCGTCGCGTTGGCGCTGAAGGTCGTGAGGTCACGTAGAGGCGTGTTGCCCGCGACGCGCGAGAGGTCGATCTGGTACGCGGCCTCGGAGACGTGGCAATTGAAGCGCTCACAGTCAAGCGCCCAGCCGATGTTGACGGCCTTGATGGCGCCGCCAGAGGCAATAACACGCTCGAGCGTGCTAGGCGCGCCGTCTTTGAAGAGGACGTGCGTCACACTGGCGCTGTTAATCGTGTCGAGCGTGCTGGTGATACGAGCGCCCATCTCCTCAAGGAGGGGGACGAACAGTTCACCTGCGTCTTCACCATTGGCACTGCGTACGTCGACGTAGAAGACGGTGCCGGAGAGCAAGCTGTCGTCTGGGCGTGGGATGTTCACCTCGAACTCTGGCTCAAGTTCAGACTCGGACTCCTCACGCTTTTCTACCAGTTCCGGCGCGAAGGCAACGGACTTCTTAGGAGAACCAAAAGGCTTCTTGAAAGGAGAACGGAGAGCAGACTTGGTAGGCGAGAGCGAGGGAATAAAGGCCAGGCTTTGGCGAGGTGCAAGGCGAGGCTTCTTGATCGAGTCCTCCAGCTGAATGGCAAGGGAAAGACGCTTGGAGCGGGAGTGCTTCTCAGTCTTTGCCTTCTCCTTTACAAGCATTTCGATATGCTCCGCAGCGGGCTCCGGTGTAGAGGGCCTCTCTTCAGTCGTTTCCGACCTGGGGGTAGAGGGCCCCTCATTGTGCTGCTCGGGCTGGTGCTTCTCGTGCTCCTCTTGCACCTTCTCCTCTTCTGGGTGCTCAATAAAGCTTGACTCCTCTTCGATGATCGTTGACATCTCATCAACGTAAGGCTCAATCTCTTCGACCTCCTCGATCTCTTCCGGTGCGACGTTCTCCTTGTCTTCCACCATCGAATCCTCTTCGTAGATGGACTCGTCCAGGTTCTCAGAAGCCGGATGCTCGAAGCTAGGTTCTTCGTCGGCCGCAAGTTGTTCCTCAGGCTCCTCTACATGCGGGTCCTCATCGAACTTGGGCTGCGAAGGAACAGAGTCAGATCCAGGCACATCCACCATATCCTGGTCGAGGTTGTCGATGACCCCCAGCATAATCTGTTCAGTGGGAGTGGAGGCACACAAGTCCGGAGAGTGCAGCATCTTCACCGCAGAAGAAACATCCCTCAAACCAGCTGGCGTGGCTTTCGCTGGCGTTGGGCTGGCCGTGATCGGCTCGAGCACCTTTGCAGGTGTCTTTCCAGGCGTAGCAAAGCGCTTCGCTGGCGTTCTCGCTGGAGTCTTCAGGCGACGGGGAGTTGCTCCCAAAGCAGAACTCTGTGCCTGGGCGGCGAAGTCGTGGGTACTGGTACCAAACAAAGAAGTGTCCTTTGGCGGAAGTTGGATCTGTACCTTGCGCGGCGTAGCCCCGAAAAGTGAAGAACCCATGTTGCTTTCACCCTGAGCCTTCGAGGGGGTGGCCATAGAAGACTTGGCTGGGAGGCCAGGCAAAGCAATCTTACGTGGGCAGGTCTGCAAAAGAGAGGATTTCGACTGCATCGCAGGCATACCAAACTTGTGAACAGGCGCAGTGGAAGGAGGAAGCATAAGTCCCTTGCGGGCGGGCGTGGCAAGAGTTGATGTGTTAAGATCTTGCTCACGCTTGGTGGTCGAGGCGCGCATCGGAGTCATTCCCAGAGCAGAAGCCGTGAAAGGAGCCTTCTTTGCAGGGCTCATGAGCATACTGCCAGTGGGCGCCTCTCCCGTAGTTGGTTTCGCGGCCGACATGGGCGCAAACTTGAAGGGAGATACGCCGAATGCCTTACGCGGTGTCTCGTGAAACAAAGCTGATTTCGAGAAAGGTGTCTTTGCTTGGATGCTCACGGTCTTCGGCGTTGCAACAGGCTTAGCCGCTGGAGTTGGTCTCAAAATTGGTTGAGTTGCAGCCAGTTTGGCCAACTTGTTAGCGGATTGCTCCTTAGTAGGAGTAACTGGTGCATCCTCTTTCGTAACAGTCTTAGGCTCCGGAGGTGGAGGGTTTGGCGATGTCTGATGAGCCGGAGTCATCTGTTTAACGTGTTAGTTTCTGTGTACAGTTGCTATCTTCGACATGTTCCTGATCGAAACTGTCTTTGGTGGAGTTGGTCTTACAGGTACTGGTACTTGTGCAAAAGCTGCTGGTGTCTTGATTGCGATCTTGACTGGTGTCTTGACTGGAGTGGAAGGCTCTTCCGGCGTCTCATCCTCAGCTTGCGGGGCTGGATCTTGTTGTGGGGCTTCTTCATTTGTATCCTTCTTAGTCGCCTTCTTGAATTTTCTCGTTGATTTTACCGGCGTGGCGTCTTGTGGTTCGTCTTGTGCCTCAACCTCCGCTTCCGGTTTAGTGGCCTGAGGTTCTTCTCTCGTAGCCTTCTTTGTTGACTTTTTCGTCGATTTCCTCGCGGATTTCTTTGCAGATTTTTCAGGAGTAGCAGGCGTAGGCTCTTCAATGGGGGCCTCCTCGGGCTCGTCTGCGGGCTCCATTGTAGGCTCCTGTGGTAGCTCCTCTGCCTCACTCATCTCGACATCGGGTACTTCGGGCTCCTCAGGCTTCTCTTCAGGAGCTTCTTTCTCGAGAGCCTTCTTCGACTTCCTCGTCGGCCTGACTAGTGTTTCGTCCTTGACGTCTTCATGCTCGGCTTCTTCCATCTCGACGTCAGAAGCATCGGGCTCCTCGGCGGCCTGCTCGGGTTGTGCTTCCTCCTTGGCCTTTCTTGAGGTCGTCTTCTTCGCAGTCTTGGCAGTAACCTTGACCCTCTGCGCCAAAGGCTTGACTGTTGCAGCCCGGGTCTCTGAGGACTTCGTGCCCCTTGTAGCTCTCGTAGACCTGGTCGAGGTGGGCGCAGCGGCCTTGCTGGACTTCTCAGCAGGAGTTTCGTCAAAATCCCTTTCCTCAGTCGCAGCGCGTGCTCTTGTTTGCCTCTTCGCGGGCGGCGCAGACTCTGGCTCGACGTCTCTGGCAGGCCTCTTGCGGGAGGAAGTAGGCTTGGGCGTCGCCTTTGCAGGCGTCTTCCTAGTTGCCTTCGCTGGCACAGGAGTGGGTTCAGGCTCCACGGAAGCCTCGTGCTCCTCAACAGGGTCTTCAGAAGCGGGGACCTCTGGCTCGGGATCCTTCGCTCTCGTCTTTCGCGTCGACGAGGCGGCAGGCTTCGTAGCTTTCTTCGCGGAGGTTGTGCGCGTAGCAGCGGTCGCGCGCGTCGACTTTGGCTCTGGTGTGGGATCCTCGGCGGGAGTGGCCGCCTTCTTGCCGCGACGGGGTGCAGCCTTGGAGGGGGCGGGCTCGTCGTGCGAGACCTGCGCACGTTGAGCGCGCGTGGCGACCATGATGAATGACGATTGCGATCAAAGGGCTGTGTGTTAGTCGAGTGGTGGAAGTAGCAATGGCGCGCGCGACATGGAAGGTGCTTGTGGTGGGAGGAGGCGACTCAGCTTCGTCATTTACTGTTTTGGCCGCGGGAAGCTTTGCGCTAGCGTTGACACGGCAACCGCTCGGCACGCGCCCCACTAGCCCGCAAAAGGAAACCACCCTACCTACCTACAAACAACAAACATCGTCCCTTCCTCATTCGTTGTCTAGCTCTCCGCCCTTCAACAACCTTGCAAATGCACCTCTTCTCCTCTTCAGCTCCTCGAATCCACCCATCTCCAACACCTTTCCATCTCCCAACATAACAACCTGCTCCGCAATCGCCATCATTTCGCGCGAATGAGTGATGATAATGACCGTCATGCCATGATCTCCACTAATCAGTCTCTCCACCGTCGCCCTCACTATTCCGGCACTCTCGACGTCCAGCGCGCTCGTCGCCTCATCCAGCACCAGCACGTCGGGCCGCCGCACCAGCGCTCGCGCAATCGCAATCCGCTGCGCCTGACCACCGCTCAGCCCGACGCCGCCCTCCCCAATAAGCGTGTCGTACCCGGCCGGTAAGCTGGCCAGGAACTCGTCGATGCCAGCTCCGGCGGCTGCATCGCGCACGTTGTTGGGCGAGGCGAGCGGGTCACTGGATGCCAGCCCATAAGTGATGTTCTCAGCGACGGTGGCAGGGAAGATCGTCGGCGTCTGGCTGACGAGCGTGATGTGCGTGCGGAGCGTGGGCGTGTGCAGATGCTTAATATCGCGGGCGCTGAGGGTGATGCCGGAGTGCTCTTGGATGGGGTCGCTCGCGTCGGGGGTGTACAGGCTCAGCAGCAGCGATGCGATGGTTGATTTGCCCGAGCCAGAGGCACCGACTATGGCTACGCAGGTGCCGGCTTTGATGGTCATGTCGATGCCTCGCAATACTTCGGCTTCTGGCCTCGTCGGGTAGTGAAAGCGTAGGTTGTGCATGACAATATCACCAACGAGCGGGATACGCGTTGTACCGACGGTTTCATGGCTGTCTGTAGGCAGACTAGCTAGGCGTAGCAGACGCGTCGCTGTGTCTCTTGACGAGCCGATCTGTGGGATCATAGAAACGATGGCGTTGACGTTGGTCATGCTCATCGTCAGCTCGCTGAAGACCTGTAAAATATGCTGCGTGGTAAACTCGTTGGATGAGACAAGTACACCGCCGTAGTAGAAGAGCAGGGCGGTGACAAAGTAAATGACTGAGTCGGTGAGGCCGAAGAATAGGCCACTGTACGCGGCGCGCTTTATCCCGACCTGGACAATATTGCGCGTAGACGTGAAGTACTTGTCATGGAGCGTTTTCTCAAGTGTGAGCGAGCGAACCGTCTTGATGTTGATAAAGGTCTCGGCGAATATCGCTGTGGCTGTTTCGTCCGCATCATTGAGCAAGCCCTCTTGTTTGCCGCTGACTGTCGAGAATCCAGACGTAATGGCCCAAAAGACAGGCACTACAGTCAGTCCGACTAAGCTCAGCTTCCAGGCGCTGATCAAACTCCAGACGATTGCTGTTCCCATCATGAGAACGGCGATGAGAATGAATCCCGCGAAGCGCCCAAGTACATTGCGCATCTCCTCGGCGTGGTAATCGAGATTCTCTGCGAGGGAATTGACATTGTTCTCTTCACGATCGAAAAACTCGCGGGGCTGGTCAAGAAGACGCTTTATCGATTCGGCGCGGACGTTGTGCACCCACATCATACCGCAGTATTCAAGCAAAAAGTGCGAGGTGTAGTTGGCAATGCCGTCGAAGATTGCGAGGCCGAGGATTGCAAGCGAGTAGATGAGCGCTTTGCGTTGGCGACCTTCCTTAATGTAGAAGGTAGTTAGGAGTTTGTTAAAAACATAGGCGAATACAGGCGTCGCAACTGCATGAAAACAGCAGGTTATGAATGCAACGATGAGAAGAATCCGTTGGACCCAGTCGAGGCGCGGCCATACAGTAACCAGAATCTGTTTGATGGTGAGAGCCCTGCAGTCCCCCTCATTGGCTTTGCCTCTTTTCTTTGAAAAGCTTGAGACCATCTTCACCAATGGACTTTTTTTCCCAGAGTATTTTGTTTCTTGAGCCAATATGGGGACCCTGTTATGCAGGGCTACAAGTTGTGATCTTCTTCTCCGCCTTCCAACACTCGTGATTCCAAGACCAACCTCGTAGTCCTGAGTAAGATCGGATTGCACTGGCATATCACCTTGTGAAGAGTACGTCGAGGAAGCCGAAGGAGACAACGGGGGCTTGGCAAATGGCGACCACGCTGTGTTGCTTGGAGGCATGATCCTTGAAAATCGACCAATGGCAGGTGGAATCATCATCGAGTTGCGCCTGGAAGCGTCCGTGGGTCGTTCGATGAAGATGCTTGGCATGTATGGCAAAACTCCTGTTTCGGTTTTCTCGAGGTACATGTCCAGAGGATCCACTATGCTGTCCGAATCCGTCGAATATTTGGAACTCGAATCGGATGCCCTGCGCTCTAGACTTGCGGCCTGGCCATCTTTAATGTGCGGACGCAATCCATCATCGTTATCTTCTTCTTCGTCTTCTTCCTTGATAGCCAGGAACTTTTGGAATGGCGATCTAGCAACCTTTTCCATGGACCTTCGATAGCCATCTTGCACAACTTTCCCCTTCTCAAGGACGTAAACGTAGTCGTCCGGAAGAATCTGCGCAATGTCGTGGGTGATGATGATAGTCGTCTTTCCACGACGCCAAACCCGAATCGCCTCCAACACAAGCGTGCGGTTGATATAATCAAGAGCGCTGGTCGACTCATCCAGTATCAGAATTGGTGTGTCTCGTAGCCTAGCTCTGGCTAGAGCAACACGCTGTCTTTGGCCACCGCTCATCGAAGTGCCTTTGGATCCAACATATGTATCCCATCCGTCGGGTAGGTCGTTGATTGTCTCTTGCAACAAAGCAAACTGTGCTGCCATCTTAGCATCCTCCAATGTCACAACTTCAAAATCTTCTCTCCCGTAGCTAATGTTGCAGAAGATTGATCCCTCGAACAAAACGCTTGTTTGTTCCACAAGGGTCAGGTTGCGACGTAACCAGCCAATGTCGATGTTTTCCAGCCTGTGGCCATCCAAGGTTACCTGGCCGGATTTCACTGTATAAAAGCGTGAAAGAATTTGACCAATTGTGCTTTTCCCGGAACCACTCCGTCCGATAACGAATGTCATCTCGCCAGCTGCAAAGAACAGTGAGGCATTATTCAAGGCGAGTTCGTTAGGACGGATGGGATAGGAGAAGCAAATCTGAGATATTAGCGATAGAAGGCGGTAACTTCCGGGCGTCTACTTACTTTCTTCATCTCGATATCGCCAGCACAATGGTCTGGCTGAAATCCGTCGCCAGTATCCTCCCGACCTTTTGATAATCCATGGACCATGACTGCCCGCAACTTGGCACCGGCAGCCCTACCTTTCTCCATGACCATTAATTGAGGTAGTATAGACGTAAATCCCTGACAAGCCATCAATGCAGCCCAAAAGGTCGTCAAGACATGTCCAGGAGTTTGGCTCTTATCCAAGAGCGTGCTGCCGTACCAGAATCCTTGCACGAACATGCCAAATGTAACCAAGGACATAATGGATAACTGCAGCGAGTTCAGGTTGGCCTGTCGGACATAGTAGTTGGCGGCTTCTCGTGCCGTCTTTGTGTATTTCCATACTTCCAAGTTCTGTCCATTGAAACACTTGACCGTATCGATCGAAGTCATGGCGCCTATAGCATATTTGAGAGCTTCGTTCAGCTTATCGCTCTGCTTGTCAATGTTAGGCTGGAGGTGACTGGAGAGGATGGCCACTGCGAAAAAGGCGACAGGGACGATGCATAGAATGACGAGCGTGAGTTTCCAGGAGTAGTAGAAGGCCAAGCCGAGAGAAAGGAAGGTAGTCGAGAGCTTTTCTATGATTCCTCCGAGCGGTTGCGAGACAGACATCTGCAGCTCACGAGTTTGCCTAAGTACCAAAGTTAGCGGCCACCCGATACATATAGGATTCGAAATTCTTACATTTGCAGCCGTGGCACCATTGCTCCAATACCGTTCTTCCTTTTGTCGAACCATTCGATATTTCTTTTCAGCAGCGCTTCAAAGATCCTTTCTCGCGCACTCCTCGCTTGTAGCTCGCCAAACATCATCCAGCTCGCGTAAAAGAGGGTGTTGACGACCCAGTTCCCTAACGCCAGCGCCGCAAGGTAGAGACAATACTTCGACACATCGTCTTTCAACTTTTCTGACGTATAAGCTCCAGAAGCGTGCTTTGAGAAGGTATCGAAGAGTTTGCCCATAAGGTATGCGTCAGCTGGGACGGCGACTCCAGCGAAGACCGCAAGAATGAAAGCGGTCACGAGCAGTGGAATATGTCGACGAGTAGTGAAGTTGAAAAGGTCCTTCCATTTCGTTACTGGAAGTTCGTCTTCTGCGTCTCTTTCTCCGGGAGCTGCATCCTGCTCATGTGTGTTGGCTGAGTCTTCCATCACGGTCGGCAAGTCTAGCCGTGTGCTGCTGTCTTTATGCTGATAGGCTTCAGACCGCATGACAGCATTTGTAGAAGCGTAAAGACTTGCGAGCGGCAAAGCGCAGTATGTACTATATGTAAATCAAAAGAACGAACGGGCGAGGCGTGGTGGTCGGGGAATGATTGCTGCGCGCAGAAGTGTGAATGAACAAAAGGTGCCGCTGACCAAGCTTAGAGAACAATTACTTCCGCATTTCACACCGTGAACAAAGAAACGCGATACCGAGCGCTCGGAACCTACAGCTAACCGTTTCTATCATTACTCGACTTTTTGCAAGGGGTATATGGATGCATCTCTTTATACGCAGTCCGCTTCCCTTCTCCATCCTCCTAACATATCCCGGGACGCTAGCACCGGAACGCCAAGCCGTGCTGGCCTTCGGGTGCTTCGGAAGCCGACAAATATATGCATACCTAGCCATATGCTGTCGAGTACCAGGTCGAATCTCTTAAAGCGTCACAGGATCAAGACGCGCCCTTGGAATATGCATCTTGATTAACTTAAGCAGACTCGCCCTCCTTCTTGGCTTCTTCGGGGTGGGTCTTCTCGTAGACCCAGTCGTTGAGGCCTGCGCGGTTCCTGGCAATCTCAACAGCGTAGAATTGCATACGCACAGCTGCACCGTGTCAGATTCCATTGCGTTCACAAGCACTTTCGCCTGCGCCTGCGCTACAGGCTCAAAGACACTTACCAAAGATAGTCTCCTTCTCACCATACTCGAACTTCGGGCTCGCACGCAGCATGGTGCCGAAGTTGTAGTCGTCAACACGCTTCTCGTATGCCATGATGAAGTTGCGCCAGCGCTCCTTGCCTGCTTTGCTCTTCATCTCGTCCTCGATGATGGTCGCCGCCGGGTCGAAGTCGGGGAACTCTTGCTTGAAGTGCTCGTAGATCTCGTCGTCGATCTTGGTCAAGCGCAGCTTGCTGCCGCGCATGCGCTCCAGAATGGACCAGTAGGTTGCCATGTGCTGGACGACTGTTGGTACGTTTAGCATGAGTGCTTTTACAACGAAGCTATAAGGATTGGTAAAGTACCCTTGACAGCAAACTGCTTCTCGATCTAAACGTACTGCGTCAGCACTTTGCGGAACACACAGGTAGAATTTGAGTGCGTACATCCTCGAAGTTGTCGGCCTGCTCAGCGTTGAGCTGCGCGCCGGGAGGTCCAACAGGTCCAGACATTGTAGGCGACTAGCTTGCTTGGTAGTGCGCAAAGTTTTAGAGGGGATTGAGTGGATAGTATGAGGAGGTTGTTCTCGCACCAAAATCTTGACGCCGGCTGGATATTCTGATTCCACCCCGCCATCCGTCATGGCTCAGACTCAAGATCCGAACATCAGCCCTGATTAGATAAGATTGGGCAGAAACATCCGACGGCAGGAGCGGCAAGTGGATGGATCGGGAAAATGCCAGGAAAGCCACTTTACAGATCATGAAACATGATAATGATCTTCAGACGATCAATTCATCTACGTAATGCGAAAGCGCCCCGCGGGCTCCGTTCCTGGAGCCTGAAAACCTTCAAGTGCCTTGTCTAGCCAAAAGAAATGCTAAGAGCCATGATCCCGAGTCTGAAGACTGAGGACAACGCTCAGCTATGAACAGGTAATTAGAGGCACAAAGGCTTCAGCAAGTTCCAGAGCCTTTAATTATGATATCAAAAAAGACCAACACCTATGCAATCCAACCACGGTGATATCAAACCTTTGAGAGCCGCGCCTTGGCCTTCTCACACCTTCTTAATGCTCGTGGTTTGTCCCCTTGTCCTGCAAGCAATGCCGCGATAGTTTCCCAGGAAAAAACGCCCCGCTGACCGATAACCCAAAACCCGGCCGAAAAGCAATATGAGCTAGGAAAGGGAAATTGTTTTTCGGCAAGCAGCCTTCACCATTACGACCATCCCGGAGCCTGGCTTTGATTAGGCTGTCCAGGCCGAGGGAAGATTGCAATGGTATCCAGTTGCTCCAAGCCACCCATCGTCTGCTGAGGTCCTGCCTGCCAGCCTTGGCCCGTTTGCTGGTTAACAAAGGCACTTTGCCGGAATGGGTTGGTACTGCCGGTCACATTGGGCATCAGGCCGGGCTGCCCGGGACCCGACGGGTTAGCGGTTGAGGGCCGTGCAAACGGGTTTGTGCTGCCAGTGGCCTGCGGCATAAGAGACTGCGGCTGCTGGGAGATAGAATCCGGAGTGTTGATAGACGGTAAAGATGGTGAATATCCTCCGGTAGATTGCGCGGTGTTGTGCTTGGCAAAAGGGTTTGTAGAGGTACGGTTGGGGGTTCCTGGGTTACTTCCACCAGTCATCATCATGGACGCGCGGAATGGATTAGTAGAAGTAGGTTGAGGGAGCAGCTGCTGAGCAGCAGGAGCACCAGTGAACTGCGGCTGTTGGAAATTCGGTTGTTGACCAAACTGCTGCTGAGGCTGCGGTCCGTAGCCACCAAACCCAGCGCCCGTAAAGCTCTGTTGCAATGGCTGCGGTGGTTGCGGCTGTCCAAAGGGATTGTTGCCGCCGAACATGTCCTGCTGGGGCGGGAAACCGGTGGGTTGGGGCGCAAAACCAGTCGGCTGCGGCATCATACCGGTTTGCTGCGGGAACTGCATCTGCTGCTGCGGGTAACCCGGAGCTTGCTGTGCCATGGGTTCCTGGTTCTGCTCGATAGATTCGAAGAAATCGATCAAGTCCGGAGCTGGTCCCTTCGCTTGCTGTGGCTTGCTGTCCGGGAAGTCCTCGTTTGCTGCAGGCTTCGAATCGCCGAGAGGCTTGCTGGTACCATTGGGTTTGCCGCCCCTCTTCGCATCCTGCTGGGCAAGGTACTGTCGCCGGTTAACTTCAAAGTCCTTGTCGTTGAGATACTCCTCCAGCGAGTTAGCCAGGCTCGTCGGCGCATGTTTGATTTTTGGAATCTCAAGGCGAGTTGAATGCTCATGCAGGCGCGCGATGCTAAGGTACTGCACTACTGCTTCAGTCTGTCGGGTAAATGTTTTGTAGATCTTGAGAGCGCGTTCCGCATCGGTATGCGACATCTCGAAATAACGCTCTGTGCGCGGTCAGCTCTCAGCCTCACGGAGAAAGAAAGGACGTGGCACAAACCGAGGACATTGATCGTTCCCTCGTTCATGACGTGGAAGAGAGCGAGCAGATCCATAGTGAGCAAGCGGAAAGCCGTGAGGGTAATCTCATTTTCCACCTCTTGCGAGAGGGGATCGCACTGCAGCAGAGCGTGGATCTGGGCCTGCAGCTCCTCGGTCTCGCGCAACAGGCCTTTGTCGACGGTCAGGCGCTTGAGACGACCCTCGCCATTGCGCACGTAGTCGATTCGCGTCGAGGCAAAGCCGGTAGCTCGCTGCGACAGGTACTCGGAGTAGGTCCGGATATTGCGACCCTGAGTCTGGACTGGGGCGGGAAGTCAGCAGGGACCGGGAAGCAACGGGCAGGAGCAGCATACCCTCTGTAAAATTATTGATCGCGAGGCGCCGGGAAGGCGACTGGGCTAGATACTTGAGGGTAACATCGGGCTCGCCCTCCCGTATCATAAGGTGTATAACAATGAGCGACTTGAAGACGATGGTCCAAGTCGAGTCGCGCAGGCGGTTCGACAGGGCGCGAAAGATTTCGGCGACGCCCGCCTCGCCGGCATGGGTGGCTACGAGGATGTGCTCGACATACTTGGACTTGGGAGGGGCAAGCTGCGAGGGACAAGGGCCGTCAGCAGTCGGGCTCCGCGTGAAGGGGAAGTGGTCTCCATGCCTTAATCTTGGTAGCTCCCTTTACCGACTTTTCAAAGGAGCTCGCCATGAGGCCCGTCGCATGCCGCGGCGCAGAAGACTAAGGGGAGAGGAGCGCGGTGGTCGCAAGGTGGGCGGGAGTGGGAGAGTCCGGGAGAGGAATAACAGTCGAGGAGCTCGCTCGGGATGACGCCCGCGCCGTAGGTAATCGACGGAGCGGGCGGAGGATGTGCAAGCTCATTTCGCAGATTATTACCCACCCTTTGACCGACATCATGGCCGCCGAACTCTCCCCCGAACAGCAGCAGCAGGCCGACCAGGAGCTCAAGGCCAAGGAGGCCTTTGAGCAGGCCCAGCTGCCCTACAAGTGGTCCCAGACAATTCAGGATGTCGATGTTTCCATCCCCATCCCCGCCAACCTGAAGGCCCGCGACCTCGACATTGTGCTCGAGAAGACCAAGCTCAAGGTCGCTGTCAAGGGCCAGCCCCCCCTCATCGAGGTAAGGAGTGACTCGCCCCCCTCACCCCCGCGGGAGCCTTGCCCGGCTAATGGCTAATGCGACGCCCAGGGCGACCTTCCCCACCCCATCCACAAGGACGAGTCTACCTGGACCCTCGAGAGCGTAGGCAAGGACGGCAAGGAGGTTAGCGTCCACCTGGACAAGGTCAACAAGATGGAATGGTGGCCCCACGTCGTCACTGGCGCGCCCAAGATCGACACGTCCAAGATCACGCCCGAAAACAGCAAGTTGAGCGATCTTGACGGCGCGACCAGGAGCATGGTCGAGAAGATGATGTACGACCAGCGCCAGAAGGAGATGGGTCAGCCGACGAGCGACGATCAGAAGAAAGCGGAAATCCTGAAGCAATTCCAGGAGCAACACCCCGAGATGGACTTCTCCCAAGCCAAGATGGGCATGTGAAGGCAGCGAAGACACGATACCATGATAAAAGTTTTAGAAGCATAGCGTGGCACAACGCCGGTCAAACACCGCGAAAACAAAAAGAATAAATGTTTGCTGCAATCTCAGTGCGCTGTCGCAAAGGTGAAGGTTCGATACATTCTACAGATTATAGGATATGATACACGATCTACAAAACGGCGAAGGAAACGGCCAGACGTCATCCTTAAAGCAGCTTCAAGTGATACGTCTCCAACTGCTCCTTCGTGGCCTTGTTGGGACTCTTCACCAACAGATCCTCACCTTTCCCGCTCTTGGGGAAGGCAATGACATCTCTCACACTCGCGCGGCCCAGCATGACCGCAATGAGCCTGTCAAAGCCCAAGGCAATACCCGCGTGCGGCGGGCATCCGGCGCTTAGCACATCAAGCAAATGTCTGAAATCTTGCAACCTCTCCTCGCTCATCTTCAGTACATCGCGCATAATGAATTCTTGCACCAATGCATCGTGAATACGCCGGCTTCCACCTCCCAACTCTACACCGTTGACGACAATATCGTAGTGCTCCGCGCGCACTGCCGCGGGATCGGTGGACAAGAGGGAAACATCTTCTTCGGTCTTTGGCGCGGTAAAGGGATGGTGTGTAGCGCTGAGGCCAGCTGAACCGCCTTGGCCAGGGTCAGTATCGTTGCTTGGGGAGAACAGTGGAAAGTCGGTGATCCAGAGAAACTTGAATCCTTGCGGTGCTTTAATGTAGCCACCCGCAACTGCTGCCTTGTGCAAGGCCAGCCGCAAGTTACCAATAGGAGTAGATCCACCGGAGAAAGGTTCGTTTTTGCGAGCTTGCAGGACGACAAGATCGCCGTCATCAAGCTTTAGCATCTCCTCGACCTGTTCAAAAGCCTCGAAACCGAAGGGTTGAAGGCCCTGCAGCGGTTTACTTGTGTCGTAGATGAAAATGCCTGGCTGTCCATCCGGGTTCTCAAGAAAAGGCGTGGCGTCGGGCGACTCCATAAATTTGGCGACGAACTTTCGTGTCTCGGCAGGGTCGTCAGAGACACGCAATTTCATGACTTCAACCGCTGGGCCAAGTAAAGGTCCGATCTTCCTCACGAGGTCCACAGGTAGCATAAACTCAATGCGGGAAATCTCCATACCAAGACGAACATCTGGTTTGTCGACGCCATATTTTGCCATGGCGTCGTTGTAGGCCATGCGGGGGAACTTTGACGGCAGCTTGATGTCCAGTAGGTCGGCCCAGAGTCGTCTTATGAGATTCTCAATAACCTGCATGACATCTTCTCCAGTAGCGAAAGACATTTCCAGATCAAGCTGTGTGAATTCAGGCTGCCTGTCGGCCCGGAGGTCTTCGTCTCTGAAGCAGCGGGCAATCTGGTAGTACTTTGGGATGCCACTGGCCATCAGAATCTGCTTGTACTGCTGCGGGCTTTGCGGCAATGCGTATGTCATCCCCTTCGTCCTTGTCGGCACTAGAAACTCTCTTGCACCTTCTGGGGTACTCTTGAATAACAACGGTGTCTCGATCTCTTGAAAGTCCTGCTTGTTAGAGAGTTCATCTCTACAAACGTTCGCAGCCTTTGACCGGAAGGCCAAAGCATCCCGTAAACCTCGCTCCTTGCGGATTTGCAAATGCCGGAGTTCGGCAGGAAAATTCGTCTCCTCCTGAAATGTGACGTCTCTCGGAAACCTATTCAGCACAAAGATTTCCTTCAGACTGACTTCTACAGTGGTGATCTTCTCAATGTCTCCGTGCTCGCTTTTTGTCGGCTTCCGCTCTTTCAACACACCTCTGATAGCGACAGGGTCTTGAGCACCGAGAATCTTGAGCAAAGTATGTGTTTTTTCTGAATTCTTTGATAAAGAGATGATTTGTACGCTGTGGCGAAGATCTTTGCTGATCAACGGAACGAAGGATAGCCCCTTCGATAAGTCCGCACGTGGTCCTAGGTAGCCGTGTAAAGTAACTTCCTCGCCAATGGATGCAGTGGCCAGGTCTTTGATCTCATGGCTTGCGGGAGGAAAGCGGACTGAATAAAAATAAGCCAAAGTACAGGTCTGAAGGCACGAAAATGGAATTGCACAACGCACAAGAATGTTTGAAGCCCTCAAGAAAAGCCGGTTCTTTCAAGCGGATGGCGTTGGAGGAAAAGGTACGTCTATACGAGCGACACAAAGATGCTTGAGCGATTGCGCTACGCGTCCGACACGCGCTCGGAAGGCCTTGTGATCGGACATATCTTGATTTTCCAGCATAGCTCTTCAATGCTGCAGAGCTGCACTGGGCGCTTCTTCGGCACTGAAGCGACAGCATCTAGAAATGGGTGTTCGCTGTCAAAGTTTCGAGGGTTTGATATTTGAATAGAGTCTCAGGTGCTTTTCCGCTGCGGCGCCTAAATTGGGCCTAGCGCGAATTTTACGTAAGCAATCGTCGCGCTTTTTATTGTCGCGCGCGCAACACCGGCAACTTTTCTCCTCATATCCTTCCAAGTTTATACCAAGTGAGTCCTTCCTTCAACCACCGCCGCCATGCACAAGTAATTAACCGTACGCCTGCAGATGATGAAAGCCTAGCGTGTACCCGATGAGCTGACCTTTTCTCTCGCTTCAGAACTCTCCCTTCACCGGGCTTAAGCGGTTCTGGAGTGGGATTGGAGGCAGCATGATATCGGCGTTCGGCACACCACCTTGTTACTTTAACGGACGCGATAAGGCATCTCTGATCCGAAACTTGGAAGGAAGCACTATGGATGGCCGGGTTCTGGTTCCCGCGGTCCATAAGCTCGACAATAAAGATAGTCTATGTAAGGCAAAATACTATGTCTTTTCCTTGAATCCTAGGCAATTCGTGAAGTTTCACCTGTGTGTGTTCCCAGCCGCTGTACTTCTATTTGGAAACATTGTCAGTTCTCCATGCAATGTCTGCCATCAAGTGTAGCGGCAGATCAATTTTAAATTACGGCATCGTCAACAGGTCCACTTCTCAAAGACGTAGATAATGGATCGTAACAACGGTGGCACATAAATTTGTAGGTCTTGCATATAACATTGACTGCAGTTTGACAGGGACGGAGAGGCAAGGCAGAATGCTGACCCGAAGAGTGATAGAAATATCACATTTTGGTCGATGTGTTTATTTTCTTCAGCACTCTCTGAAGATCACAGTCAGCATTGCGGTGCACTTGCGTCAAAAGTATGCCACATGTGTGGCTGAAGCTCCCAAAGATAAAAAGGTAAGCGCAGGACCCTTTCCACCTCACGCGCAACTGCGATCCTTGTGTCATCTACGAGCCGAACCGCCGGACTACCCACCCATTGGCCATGTCTCTACGTCAAGCATGGATGACCTGACGAAAACCACGAAGGCTTAACAAGAGGAATGGTCAGCATCCTTTCAACAGCGATGCCCGGTCCGTGCCTACTTTCGAAGGCTACGCTGCCGGCCGCCCCGGATTTTGGACCCCAACACCAACACCACTGCTCAGACAAGCCAAGAGTTTGCTAAAATGACAGCCACTGTGGAGGCCAAATCTAGACTGCAGCACTTAGCCAGATCTGCGTAACCCCAACTGCCGAACACCGTGCGGCTCGGGTCGTAACAGCCGCGAGGCTCAACATGGAAGAACAACGGCCCCAATTTTCAGAAGGCAATTTCCTGGCTTATCGGCCAAGGGCTTCTTGTCTCCAGCTCGTCTTATTCCAGGAATAGAAGGATTGCATGCAGAAGTGATGTTTGGGGCGGTTTCCTTCCCTCCGCCCCGCGGTGTGGGACGAGGCTTTTGCCTGCTGTTCTCTTTGGGGAGAAACGGGCAAAAGAGGCTTGGACGTGGTTGTTGTCTCGTATCAGCAAAATTGCTACGGGCAAAATACTCCAGCCAAAGTCTGTATATAATGCCACGCGGCAAACCGTCAGAGTATACCTCATGCTCTTCATTTTCTCAGTGTTCGACTCTACAATCCTTTACATTCCGATTCAACTTCTTCATCTATACAATTCTTTGAGGATATCCTTCCTTAACTTCTTCTCTTAAAAACACAAACAAAACATCAACCTCTATTTCAGCAACAAACTTTAGAATGGTACGCCCGAATAAATTCTCCACTCCTTACAAAACCTGGAGAAAGCTAACCCGTGTCCACTGATTTAGCGTCTCTCCACCGTATTCCTGTTGGCTACCTCGGCCCTCGCTTTTCCTACGTCTCAGCCGCAGGCGGCTCATGATAGCCCTAGCATCAGCGCACGCGGCATATACAACATCGTTGCTGGCGCACTAGGAGCAAACTGGTACACGCCATACTCTCAACAGAAATCAGGTCAATCCGGGTCTGGGTCTGAATCCAGCGTATCCTATGAAAAATATTGCGGAAGTGTCGCGAAGTATCCACCAATGAAAAAGTGGCAGACTTTCGACTCTCTTTGGCAGATCAATCTTCCAGTTATCAAGAGCAAAGGCACCAGTGACAAGTTGATTGCTGTTCTGAAGGCGAAGATCTTGGCTATTGCCTTAGAAAGTCAGGTCGACGCGAGGGTGATCCTCGCGACCATTATGCAAGAGGTAGGTCTTCTTTTGAGACGTCCTGGTCTAATCGATCTCGGTGGCCGGGTATGCTGTGGGTGGTCCTGCTAACGCTCGATGTAGTCCGGTGGTAAGCTTGATGTTCCTTGTACTGCCAAAGTCAATTGTGGTATTATGCAAGGTCCACCAGGAAGCCAAAGTTATGACAGTTCCAACCCGGCGAAGAGCATCGAATCAATGATTCGAGTTGGGGTCCACGGCCACGAGGGAAGCTGGCCCAATGGCGGTCCCGGCCTGGCTTGGCTCATCGCTCTAGGTCATACTGACCCAACGGTGGCAATAAAGAATAAGGGCAATTTGTACGAGGCTCTGCGCGCCTACAATACAGGCCGCCTCTCGGACCCCAGCAACTTGGACATCGCCAAATCTGGAACACCTTCTTATGTCAACGACATTGCGAACAGACTCAGGGGTTGGGACGGTTCTGGCACTGGCCAGGTCAATGCGAACCTGGCTTGTCATTAGTGCCGCTCACAACCACCCTATAGACACAGATATATCCGCCGGGTCGGATACGACTGTCTTTACCTTCGTTTGTTGCCAAACGCTATGTTGGCAAAAAATGGTGTTTGTTTCTGTTTCGAAAGAGTTTCTTTTCTTATTCTTTTAGTTTTTCCACCATTTGCAGTTCGATCGCGTAGTATTGCTTTTGGACAGTTGGTGTCATTGCAATTTTCTTTCTTTATCGAGTGATTCGATGCGCTACAAACTATCTGCCTTTCCAAATTTGCCTCAGTCCTTTCAAGTTCTCATGGCGTGCTCATTTCTAGTTGTGAATTTGCGCGTGAAGACCAGGGATGATTTCCAGGTCCTTCTTCTCGTACTCATATTTTCCGTCCTCACTGATCTTTGGCGGCGCTTTGTTACGCCGCTGTTGCTGCGTCTGGCGGACCTTCACCCACTCTTCGGTGGTCAAGTGCTTACCCAGCTCCGTGAATGGGTTGGATTTCAAATCCAGACGATTCAACAGCGGGCTGTTCTCGATTGGGTCGAGGACAACATGGTTGTTCGGTCTACGTTCGGACCTTGATAAGTATATTTCTATGACACTCTTCTGGAAAACTTACCGTGCAAAATACAGAACTCCCAGACGGTCGATGTGTGCCTGGTCGGCCGGCGGCGTACGCACACGGTGAATGCTGGATTTGAAATAGCCGCCAGTTATGGCGGACAAAGCGTCGCAAATGTTGATGGTGATGGTCTCATCCTGCGGCTTGACCCACTTCCATTCGTTCTTCGAATTCAGAATCTGCAACGCCGCGACTGGCTGACGGAAGAGTAGGGTTATACTTCCGAGGTCCGTATGACCTGGTGCGTAAAGCTCTCCAACCTTCTTGTTTTCCTCGGGGCTGCGTGCGGCGTAGTGCATGTACCGCAGATGATCCTCGCCCTTGTCGTCATAAACATGCTGCTTGACTAGCTGCTCTTCATCTGGAAGTTCCAGGATGATTGCAAAAAGGCGCAGCAACTTGTTAACGACCAGCTCGTGGCACTTGCGACTGAAGGCCTCAATTTCTTTGATGTGATCTCTCAGGACTGGAGGGTGTTCCCGGGGATGGTGACCGTCGAACTTGGGCAGGTTATAAACCTGGATGTTGTCGCGAACGTTCTCCGTAAGCCTGGCAGGTATTAGCCTTTCAAGTCATTATATATGCTCTTGGTACTGACTGTCTCAAGCCTGCCGGTCTGTAGCCGTTGTACTCCCCGCCCTCAAGATCCTTGATGTTGTGGTACTTCAACTTCTCCTCCAGCGGCAGATCGTAGAATTCACGGCCAAGCGCAAATTGTCGGTCAACCTCCTCTTGCGAGATACCGAAGTTTTTCACGTAAAAGAAACCAACATGCTGCGCAGCATGGTCAAGCTGTTTTGCGAGGCTTTCCTTTCCCCCAGGCCTGTCGAATTCACTCAGGTCGAGAGTAACGAGCTCGGCCCAATCAACTTGGAAATGTTAGCCAGTGAAGTTGATGCTGTTTTTATTCTGAGCGGACTGACGATCATGCTTGGTCTCCGGGACCTGCTTGTAGGGTGAGAGGATTGCGCCAGGCATTGTTTAAATTCGTGTGGTAGTTGAAGGTTGCGTTCTTTCGTGTCTGTGTGTCGTCCAAAGGGATATATTTGTATTAAATAGGCACCTCGGCTCAGGCAAGCCTTCTCGTCACACTCCACTACTCCGCTGTTTGTACGACAGCTTTGAAATCCGAATCATCAGTGTGTCAAATATCACACCATTGATATCTCCGGGGAAGCCCCTCATACGCGCGGCTTGATGTCCGTCGCTGTATCCGAAAGGTGGAGTACTGCAATGTAGCGTCAATCCTCAAGATGGCTGCTTCGAAATCTCCCACTGCCAAACAGAGTATACGACCGCTGTGGGGTAGATATGCCCCGCCAACGAGTCAGTGTGCCTTTTGGGATTTTGTGGCTGAATGGGTTGAGCACGCAATGCGGGGGTCGATTAACAACATCGCTAGGATACCGGCCAGCATTTTCCGCACAACCAGCCATGCTTTTCGGATTTCGACTGTATGAGCACTCTTCGTTCGTAAAATAGTTGAATGTCGTGTCATCCCGACAGATATAGACGTCCACACAATTAACCTCAAGGAAAATGTCCCCTGCCGAAACTTATGCTGAAGGCTCACTTTGGAAAACTAAAGATTGTCGGTACAAAAAATGATGGAAGACATTTGTTTCACATGACATAAGGAAGAACCATTAACAATCCGCGGATTGGAAAGTATCCCTACTTTCAATGGAGACAATATGTCATGCGTGCCTCAAGGTAAGAGCAACTTATCATTGACAATTGACATGCGTCACCATCACCGTTAAGCGAGACTCATCACCTAACGAGATGCCGATGCTTGTATGGAGTGGAAATAAAATTCAGTTAAGATATTTGTAGTATGTGTATGTTCCAAGCCCTTTTTACTCATTGAGGACTCAGGCTTGTAGCTATACAAGGAGTATTCTATAGGGACTTGTATCCTTCCCTTCCCGCTAAGCCGTGAATTTCTTTCAATGGCGAGGGATACCAAGCGGCCGATCTATCAAGGTTGGTAAGCATAGCGGGTCGCCGAGCCTGCATAATGGCTAAAGACCAACGAAAGAATTGGATAGTTGCCGATATGAGACAATCAAGCTAATGGCTTGCGTGCTTCGGCGGCGCGTCTAACCCCACAAATGTAGATGTTTCACGTCAAGCAACGTCGGCTACCTAGGCAGTCCGCCGAGTCTAGCTGAAGGCGAAGAATTTGAGGATTTACTCCGATATGCTCATTTTTCCTTAGGATGATGTCGTAAGAATTCCAGTCCTGATAAAGGCTCTGATGGATAACATTGAACAGACATAGCTAAATCCAACCTTTGAGGGACCTTTTGTCATGTCGAAAGTTCAAGCACCACCTCGGACATTGTTTGGGGTGATCAAAGAAGTTTTCAATTGGTACCCGTCCTCGTATTCTACGCAAGAGCGGAAGTAAGTGTGGAAGCTGGGGTCACCAACACAAAGAAAAAATACTTACACAAGCAGACTTCTCTTCAAACTTGACTTGTCAATTTTGATTTTCGCATGTCTTTGTTGTAAGTCTTCGTTGGGTATCCTAATTAGGCTTTAATCATTTACACTGACCACTTGGTAGTTTTTACCAAGTATTTGGACCAAAGTAACATAAGCAATGCGTACACTTCAGGCCTAAAAGAAGAGCTGAATCTTCACGGCAATGAGCTGAACTACTTCAATGTTATGTACTATACGGCTTATGTGATTTCACAAATCCCTATGCTGTTGCTCATTTCCAGACCAAAGCTGTAAGTACGCAATGCGAGCTCTCTTCATGGCTTTCACTGACCACTTCAGGGCCCGTTGGATGTTACCTACGCTTGAAATCGTCTGGGGCGTACTTACTTTTGCACAAAGTCGTGTCACCAATGTGCATCAGCTTTATGCGCTTCGATTTCTTGTGGGAATGGCAGAAGCGCCCGTGTTTGCAGGTACCCATTTTGTTCTCGGCAGCTGGTACAAAGGACCTGAGCTTTTCAAACGTGCAGGCACCTGGTTCATTTGTAACTCGCTTGGCCAGATGGTTAGTGGTTACCTGCAGGCTGCCGCGTATACAAACCTTTCAGGAGTGGGTGGAATGTCGGGATGGAGGTTTGTGAACATAACCACTTATCCCTAAACATTACGCCGCTGACTTCTTCATAGATGGCTCTTTATTATCGATGGAATATTCACGATACCAGTAGCCCTTGCTGGATATCTCATATTTCCGGGAATACCAGAGTCTCCGAAGCCCATATTCCTCACTCATGCGGACATTGATCTTGCAAAAGCGCGCATGCGAGAAGCTAAAGTCAGAACACCTGGTAAACTGAACCTTGACGTGTTCAAGCGCAGCCTCAAGAGATGGCACATTTACGTCTTCATCCTCTGTTACATGTCAGTTCAGTGTCCTATTTCCCCAGTGAACGGGTCCCGCTTACCAACCTCAGTGCCATGATCATCGCCTCGTATCCAGCGCAGTACATGAATTTATGGCTCAAGGACGAAGGCTTCTCCGTGCCTCAAATCAACAAACTACCGACAGCGGTTAATGCCATCACTGTTGTTTCGTCTTGGCTTGGAACAACATTAGCAGCTATTTACCCTTCATGGGTACTGTACTCGATCTCCATGGGCACTTGCGTCTTCTCAGGGATCTGTATGACTATATGGAACATTCCAAGGGCACTAAAGTTCGTAGCTTGGTACGCATTGGGACTCCAAGGTTGCGCAAGCCCCATACTCTATTCAACTGTCAACTTGGTACTGAAAGACGATGCGGAAGAAAGAGCCCTCACTGTGGTATGCCTCTAGCTCTTGCATCTTTCGTACACCGTTAGCTGACATATAGCTTCAGGGAGCCATGATGGCATTTGGATATTCGTTTAACATCTGGGTTCCCCTATTGCTTTTCCCTACAGCTGGATCTTGGGGAGCACCAAGGTGGAAAGCCGGCTGGCCTGCAACGATTGCCTTCTATACCCTCCTTTGGATTGGCTTCATTGTCGTAATATATCTTCACCGAAGGGAGTCAGTAATCTCCATCCACTCTCTAAGATCTTTTAAACTGATTGGGTTTTACAGCACCAGAAACCAAGTCATAGAAGACAATGGGGTTGGTGCTATCGAAGAAGTCAGCGAAGATGACGACGACACCAACAACGTTGCTTTAGGAGATGGATCTAGAGACAGAAAAGAAGCCATTGGAAATGTGGGAACACTTCCGCTCCCAGAGACAACATGATGTACAGGTTGGTGAGCATGTTCTGAAATCATACGAACGATTTGCTCCGTTCCTCAGCTCTTGGTTTCCTTTGTTCTATGTACAGAGATATCAACAAAAAATTATAGTCCTAGGCAATTTTTGGTATTTGCCATTCCTGGTCATACTTCTTCGTCTATTCGGCTTGTCGGACTAGAGTTTGTTCCATCATCTTCCAATATTGAAGACTAAGTGTAGATAACTCTGGCTACAGCCTTTTAGGCTGGTTAACAGTCTCAAACTATTAGTATCACCATTAACTAGCCATAAAGTTCCTCTCGTAAAATTTGTAAAGATATACGAAAGCCTATGCAAATTCTAACCGGATATACCGATAAATACCTTCTTAAAGGTTATAACTTACTGACTAACCCTAATATTCTAGCTAGGCTTAGCTATACTAGCGAGACCCTAATAGTATTTAAAAGGAAATATTAACGTTTGTTAGTACCGTCAACCATCGTTAACCGAGTTTTACTATCTAGTGAGATAGAGAACGGCCTAAACAGTCCCTACAGGGTACTATTTATCTAGCTATAAGCCTAAGTCCTAGGTATAACGAGGAGATTCTCTATAAACTACTCCTTGTCTAGCTAAAAGCCTAAATCCTAAGTATGAGTAAAACGGTCTGAGAGCGTATATATACTATAAATAGCTTAACTAGATTTCTTCTTCTACTCCTTATAAGTGTTGTTATCTCGTTAGACGTTAGATCTCGTTTAACGGTGACGGACGTGTTGTGATGACAAAGGGATTCGTTGAACAACTTAAGGTCTCAAACGAACTTTACCGTTGTTAAAATTTCATTGTCTAAAATCAGTGCGAACACTTCAGACAATGTCCTTGTTGACATATCCCCAAGAGTATATTAGCACCAGCAGGCGTCTATCTATGATAACCAGTCTTTTCAGTAACCAGCACAGCCTCACACCAAGAGATTGTATACGACAGTTCAAACCATGTTAAACATCAACATCAGCCTGTTAGGCACATTTTATTCACGATGAAAATTGCGATGAGCAGGGAGGCCGAGCAATTTTTCGGTGCGTCTAGGATATTTGCCGTACGAGGAGAGGAGTTCCTCATGCATCAGCGGGAAAATTGGTCTCTAGCTACGAACCGTACCGGTACCAGCATGACCATGAGAACCAGCGCCCCAGAGATGCAGGTTGCCGACGATGGCTCTACAACGATCGATACTATAGTCATACTGCGCTTCCAGGGTATGCCTTCCTGGTTGCCAACTCACGTTGCGCCCCTTGAGGAACGCGACTGCTCCATTTGTATGGAGACTGAAGTGTGCTACGACTCCTGCCCCATACACGTTATGTGCAAGGATTGTCTGACGTACATCTTCGGCGAGGCAGCGAAGAACGAGACCAGCTACCCGCCGAAGTGTTGCAACGAACACAGACGGAACGGCATCCCTCTTCACACTGTCGAATTGGCCCTCGACACCAATCTTGCTCGCCTCTACGAAGAGCGGGTGGCTGAGTACATCATACCGGTCCAGGATAGGGTGTATTGCGGAAGCCCTAGTTGCTCGGCATTCCTCAAGGACACGCAACACTGCAACAACTGTGGCAGCGGTACATGCAGAGACTGCAGGAAGCTCATCACGTCTGATGGCCACGAGTGTAGCGAAGGCAAAGTCGAGGTAGAGTACAACCCTAACTTCCGTTGCAAGGCGTGCCCTAACTGCAAGTCGCTGATCCAGCTAATCAAGGACGACGAGGAGAAACCTACCTGCAACCACATGAGCTGTGCGGTTTGCAAGTTTGAGTTCTGCTGGGTTTGCATGGAGGACTACCGCTTCCACTGCAGCTGTCCGGTATACGGCGACCCCGTGTACAATGAACAGGGCTTTACTGAAGACGGCTTCCACCGTGACACTGGATTGGATGCTGAGGGGTATGCCCGCTCTGGCTACAACCGCCGGGGTGTCAACCACCAAGGCAAAAAGCGGGATCAGGACCATGACCTGCGGTTTCCTGTGGATGATTTTTTTGACCCTGATGATGAGTCTCCTGATTCTATGGATATTGACTTTTTTGCCCCAGAGGAGGAGTCTGTTTTTCCTGCCGAGGCCGTATCTGATTCCGAGGATGATTTTCCTATGGACGACATTTTTGACCCTGTGGATCCCGTCGATGATAAGCCTGCGGAGCCTGTCGTTGAAAATACGAATCCCAGAATGGGTTTGCATGGTTCTTCTGACATTAGTCTGGAATGGCCAGCTGACTTTGCGAACTGGGAAGCTGCTATGCGGGAATGCTCTGACATAACTGGAATCGCAGATCTCCTCTAGCAAGGCCGCGGATCCAGGTTTGGCGATATTTTCATGTTTCAGCGAGGCATGAGACCGGGTCTCATCGGAGACATGGACGAAGACGAGATCCTGAACGAGGCCATGATACGCATCTTCGGCTCAGACTGGGTCGACGTTCAGCTGGAACAGAGGGAGGATGAATCCGACAGTGATAAGATCCGCCGTTTTTGGAGCATTGTGGATGAGCGCCGCCCGCCACCGCCCTTGCCCGGACTGCACAACATGGATACGTTTGTCAACGGCTTTAATAGACCTACTGATCTCGGTTCTAAAGAGATCCTCATGGCTCGTCATGAATTCAATGCCTGGTATGCAATCAGAGAACGCTTTGAGACCTACCGCCAGGCCGTCGGTGGTTTGCCGGGTCTCCCACCAACGGAGCAAATGGACAACATTGGCATCTATCTTGAGATGATGAATGCTCGGTATAACCGCCTGGGTATTCAATACCGTGCTGAATTCCATGTCCTCGACGGTGTAAAAGTCATCTTCAGGCGGTAAGGGTACAGGAGAGGGGCGTATTAGCATAAACGTATGCTAGTACACGAGGAGATACGTAAGACAAAGCTGCGTGGGGGGACGGATAGTCTCTTGAGGAGCCATAGATACTTCCATACGCGAATACTTCACGAGATCTCATATACACGCACACTGTCCTACTCCACCGGGATAATGCACTCAACACGCACTCGCTCAGTACAAATACACAAAGGCAAGACACCTTGTTCGTGGTTTCCAGTTATTTCTTTGTAGTCCCCTAGATGTTTGTTAGTGGCTTTTGCCTAGTATGAAATTATTTATCAGTATAAGCAGTTGAATTTTGTGTACTTGCATGTAGTTGAGAAATGAGTAAAAAAACTAAAAGGGGTGGGTAAATTATCCGGACCTAAAACATGAATTCGTATTTACAGCTAGAATGCCCGCTATCCAGCCCACCTTTTCAGACCCACCAGCAAACAAAGCACTTACCTTTCCCCAAGAGAAGAAACAACTCCAAACCACCACCACCACTACTACTACACTCCCCACCCGCTCACGCCCCCACCGGCACAGAAACCCCCTCCCTCTTCACCACCTCCTCCACCACCTCCACACTTCTCACGGCACACTCGCGATTCCACTCCACGATCTGCGCGCACACGCCCTCGATCGTCCGAAACGGCGCCCGATACCCCAACCCCCCCTCAGCAGGTGTTCGCCTCGCCGCCGCATCATCAAACACCAGGTGCGTGCCCGAAATGTCCCACAGCGCGGGCTGCAGGACGGCAATGTCGCCCGAAAGAGCGGGCCGGGCCGGGCGGTCGAGGCGAGAAAGGAGACGCTGCAGGGCGAGGTGGATGTGGGCGTAGGCGGCGAGGGCGTGCGCGAGCAGGAAGAAGGGCAGGGGCGGGAGAAGCGTGAATGTGGTGGGGGTGCCTGAGAGGACTGTCTCGGCGGTGTAGATGTCCGCGAAGCGGATTGGGGGGTTGGGGTCCGTGACTGTGAAGGCGCGGCCGCCGATGTCTGGCAGCTGGGAGGTGGTGGGGGCGGGGCTCGAGAGGTCGAGCAGGCGCTGCTCGAAGCAGTGGTGTCCCAGCGATACGTTCTCGGCCGACACGAAATTTGTCACGATGTGCGGGATCCAGGACGGACCGCCGCGGCGCAGCAGGTAGTTCCCGACGGTGTGGTCGGCGCTGGAGCCGTAAATGCCGTTGGCGGGTCTAATGACACCAGTGCGGAAGCCGGTGGCTTTGTCGTCGGCGGCGCGAATGAGACGTTCAGCCATGGCTTTGGATGCGGCGTAGTTGGAGTAGAAGGAGGCATGCGGTCTGTCTAGGTCGTAGTCATGCTCGCTGGTGTCGCTGAACAGCTGGAAGAAGCGGTGCGGGAAGCAGCGCCAGGGCGGGAGCCAGAATTGCGCTCTCCGCACTGCGATGGAGGCGGAGGAAGTCGCGATGAAGCAGGTGGCGCCGGTGGCTTTGGCCGCCGCGAGGACGTGTGCAGTACCAGTGACGTTGGTGGTGGTGCAGAGATGCAGCAGCTCTGGTGTGCGCTCGACAGGCCGGATCACGGCGGCGCAGTGGTGCACCGTCAGTGGGAGGTGGGATACGGACGGAGGCCATGGAGCTGAGAAGGCCTTGTGGACAGACTCTGAGTTGGAGATGTCGGCGTGCTCGAAACTGACTTGGCTCAGCTGCTGGCTTCTTTCGATTCCGCCTGAGACTTGTGGCGTCGGGTTGTGAAGGTCGATGATACGGATGGCTTCAGGGTCCTCGCCGCGTGCGAGCAGATGCAGGACGATGGCACCTCCGACCAGGCCTGCGGCACGTCAGCCCGCCCCCGGGAAGCTCAATCTACCCGACTTACCTGAGCCGCCAACCACAATATACCGTCTGCCTTGCCTTGCGGGTAGATGCTTGGTGAAGTCCAGAGGAGATTCCTGGATTTTCCCGTAGGTAGCCTTGACTTCATCTTCCGTCCATGGCTTTGCAGCAAGCCGGGTTACCTCGTCGGGGACTGAGCTCAATGCCCTGTTGAGATGGCAGAGATACAGGAACATAGCCACGCCAGCGGCCAGAAAGATCAACGAAAGGGAAGCCATGGTTGACGGCAGAACCCTGGAACCCGGAACATACATATACTAAGTGCCCTTCAATGGCTCGCTACCCACGCGAGTAGTCACATCTCAGCATAACAGTGATCCCCGCTGACGGTGGGTTACAAGTTGATCGCCGATTGGTCCTCAGATACATGGCCTACCTCCAACAAGGTCGAAGCTGCGACGGGCGTGGGAAGGGAAAAAGTACCGCAGTGTCGTGGTGCCTGGCGGGATGAAGCAAGAAGATTCGCTGATGTGCTCGCTTGCGAAGCGAGCCTCCTCCACCCTCCCCAGCACGTCTCTCCCGGGGGCCATTGACCTCGTTCTAGATCATTGCCTCACATCATACATACAAACAATTGCCGCGCTTCCTCTGACGACGATTGTCGAAACAACCACCCGCGTATCTGTCGCCGTTACGCGAGACGATATTGCTCCACCTAGCCTTGGTTCGAGATATCTAACTAACCATGTGGCATCTTGTATACTACCGTGGACTCTGATCCGAGGCGACCATATCGCCGAGTTTCAGATGGTCGGACCCCACCGCCGTCAAACGGTGCAAAAAACAAAATAAAAAAAAAACAAAAATAAACAGCAGTTGAGGCAGCAAAAAAAAAATTTTTTTTTGCTTCGCTCCCCTTGGCCCCTTGGCCTGTTTACTTTTTTTTTATTTTGTTTTTAAAAAAAAAAAAAAAAAAAAAAATAAGAAGCAGAAACGACGTCCGTTTCATGAAACAGAGCCACCGTAATGCACTCAGCTCTTCGACGATGGTGACGAGGCCACGTTGATGGACTCGCGGCTTGGAGACCCGCATGCTTCTGTGCATTACGATCGATTGCGTGCATGCGACGGTGCCGGAATCCCTGCCGAAGGTTTCTCTTCTCTGGACCCCCCTCGGCCGCCTACTTACGTGCGAATCCAAACTCACTATATAAAATAAAATAAAAAATACTCCCCTTTAGCATCGCCAAACCAAACCACCACGCATAACAACCCCCCAGCATGACGAAAGCCCCTCCAAGCCTCACGACCCCACTCCACTGCGCCCACCCGCCCAAGCCGCACAGCAAACTCGCATGCACGCGTAGCCCTACTCTAAAACACTCGGTACACACCTAGTATCCACTCTGTTCATCGTCTACGGACACGCGAGCTCTAGACTCCTACTGCTTGCATACGGATGCCTACGCAAGTAGATAATCGTGCGTACTTTCATAAAGGCATAACACGAACATCACTGTTCAAGACTAGAACGTCTGCATGTCAAAGAACCTGAATTCGCAGCAAGCTGCTGGTATAAACTCCCCAGGACCAATCCATCGTTAGCCAACCAAGGCTTCCCTTCAAACCCTCACTATTCACATAACCACCCATCAACCAATCTATAGCTTCATCCCCAACACCTTGTTCACCCTCAACGACTGCCTGATACTCAAATCGAGCATAATCTCCTCCGAGCCACCCGGGATCGCGTACGCGCGCACATCCCTATACAGCCTCTCCACCCTTGCCGCCTGTCCACCCCTCGAGTAGCTCAGCCCACCAAAGATCTGGCTGGCCTCGCGGGCGCAAAACTCAAACGTCGTGGTGGCCTGGGCCTTGAGGCCGGCAATGGCGCCGCCCAGCTTGAGCATCGCCTCCATATCGCTCATGCGCTGGCACTGGAACACCATGTTCTCCAGCCAGCTGTAGCTGGCCTCGATCTGGCGCGCCATGTGCGCGAGCTTCAGCCGGATCACCGGGTGGTCGATCAGCCGCTTGCCAAACGTGCGCCGCTTATGCGCGTACTTGACGCTGTCTTCGTAGCACACCCGGCTGAAGCGTATGCATTGGATGATTATGCCGATGCGCTCGTGGTTGAAGTTCGTCATGATGGCTTTGAAGCCCTGGTTCTCTCTGCCGAGCAGGTTCTCTACAGGCACTTTGACGTCTTCGAATGTGATGTACGTCGTGCCTGACGACCACACGCCCTGGCAGTCCATGCGCCGTGTGCTGACGCCGCCGAAGGATCGCTCGATCAGCAGCAAGCTAACGCCGTTCATGCCCTTGTCGCTCGTCCGTACCGCGGTCGTGAAGTAGTCGGACCAGATGCCGTTGGTAATCCATTTCTTCTCGCCATTCACAATGTAGTGCTTGCCGTCTTCGGAAAGTTTGGCTTCGCACGTGAGATTGGCGACATCGCTACCAGCATCTGCCGTACAACGTTAGCCTTCCACACACAACTATCAGTGTCATGCCGTCAACTTACCAGGTTCAGTGATGGCCAAGCAAATACGCTTGTCACCGTTCAGGATACCGGGCAGGATTCGGTCAATCAGAGGCTTCTTTCCGTGCTTGACAAGCGGGGGACAGCCGATACCGAAACCACCGATCAAGTTCCAGACCAGACCGCCAGAGCCAGCACGCGAGATTTCATCCGTTAGTAGCATCTCGTGAAAGAGATCCCACTTCTCAGGAGGCACGCTAGCAATCCGCTTATCCGTCAAGTGGGTCGGGAAAGGGTGCACGCCTATAAGGCCTGCAAGATACCCGCGCTGTCCCATCTGTTTGTATATATCCTCAGACACACGCTTGCCCTCTTCCCACTCGCCGACGTTGGGAATAATCTCGGATTCTACCCATTCGCGGACTTCGGCGCGGAGGTCGGCGTGCGACTGGTTGAAGTAGGGGGAGTGATACTGTTTACTGCGGTCAGTGGGGCTGCTCCTACAATTGTGAGAGGGCATACTAGCACTTACAGATTGGTACCACGAGGGGTCCGCGAACGGCACCAAGTCGCCATATGAATCGAGCGCTTCAGGCGCTTCAACCTCTCCCGCTGCCGCCGGGCCCGGTGTCACAGAAAGAGTGCCAGACTCGGCCTTTGGCTTGGCAGCCTCCTTCTTAGCTTCTACCGGGGGAGTAGCTGGTGGTGTGGGGGGAGCAGCGGGCTTGGGCTTGCTGTCGAGGGAGCCGACTTGGAGCTGCTTCTGGTACTTCTTCAAGATACTCTCATTGTGGTATTTCCAAAACTGCTTAGAAGCATCTTTACCGGCAACACGCTGGAGGACTGGGGGAGTGTCAGCGAGGTGCCAGCGTGGCAGAGGTAAGAGAAAGCTCACTCTTCTTTCCGCCAGGGTGCTCGTCCTGGAACTTGCTCAGGTCGTAGACATCCTCGTCGACGATGATCCAGAGGTTATCGGGCTTGTTGTGAGAGGCAACGTCATCCTTTGAGAATGTCTTGGCCATGTTGAACAAAGATTTGGGGTTGTTCGAGAAGAGTGGAGCTGAGAGAGACGGGATAAGTACCACAGCGCTCGGTGGACAGGGCCTCTTTCACATGTCAAGCCGCCCACGTAAGTCACCCCGGAAGGGCGGAAATCCGGGGGAGCCGCAGAGGGGCCGAGCTGTCAGAGGGGCTTGTGATTGCATCTTTTGCACCGGGTTGCGCGCCGAAAGGCCAGCTGACGATGCTGTCATGGTTGCACTCTGGTTGCAGCTCCAGCACTTGCCGAGGCTGTCGCACCTGCTGGACCGAGGCGAGGGCACGTGCCCGTCTTTCGTGTCCGCTTTGTCTGACCGACTCCATTTCTACCTGTCTCTATTCGTCAATAATCATCACTTCTGTCTGCGGACGTCCAATCCTACTGTACACCATCAGCCTTTGCTTGCTACAGTAGATTACCCTATCCGGCAACCCCCAAACAACAAGAACTAAGACGTCAATGTGGGATGGGCCGACGCCCATCTACCGCCTACCAAGAAAGGCAATATGAGTAAAAGTGCGGAAATTCCGCTCGAAATTGATAAGCTTGATTGGTTTGTCAGAGACGCTGTCTTGGAGCTTCATTCCAGCTGCCGGCTACTGGTCAATTTTTCTTTCTTCTCCGTCACACTTGCCATTTCCCTTTTAAACACCTCCTCTGCATCTTGCCAATTCATCTTCAACAACCGTCATGGGCGCTGAAAACCTTCCAGAGACCATGCTTGCATGCCAGGTCGTAGAAGTGAATAATCTTCCAATAACTCCTCTACTCCGCCCTCATAACTCACTGGCTCGCAGTACAACAAGCCCTACAAAATCCAGCACGTCCCCGTCCCTCGCGCCCTCGGCCCGCACGATCTGCTCGTCAAAGTCGCCGTCGCCTCTCTCTGCCACACCGACAGCATGGTAGCGGCCGGCACCTTCAAAACGGCGCTGCCATGCACGGCCTCGCACGAGGGCGCCGGCACCATCGTCGCCACTGGCTCAGCCGTGTCTGAGTTCTCCGAGGGCGATCGCGTCATGTGCGGCCTGCCTCTGCATCCTTGCGGCATCTGTGATGACTGCAACGGTCCGGAGGAGCATAGACAGTACTGCACGCGCGGCGATGGCGTCATCGGCGTGCAGACTCATGGCGCGTTTTCTGAGTATGTCCTCGTTGATTCACGCACAGGTACCGTGAAGCTGCCTGACAGCGTGAGCTTCGAAACTGCGGCGCCGTTGGCGTGCGCGGGCATCACTGTCTTCCGTGCCCTGTTGCAGACAGGACTGAAGACGGGGGAATGGCTGTGCCTTGTAGGTGCAGGGGGCGGCTTGGGACATCGCGGGATTCAGTTTGCCAAAGCAATGGGGCTGAAAGTGGTGGGTATCGATGCGAGAGACCTGGGATTAGCATTGGCGAAAGAGACGGGTGTGGACGTGGTAGTCGACGCGCGCAAGGGCAAAGAAGCGGCTGCGGAAGAAGTCCAGAAAGTAACGGGTGGAGGAGGTGCCGACGCAACGGTCAACCTGTCCGATGCGAAAGGTGCTGCCGCGTTGGCGTGCGCAGTGACTAAAATGCATGGGCTTGTCGTGCAAATTGCTCAAGTAAGGGCGATCCCGTACTCCCTCGCCGTAAAAAAAAGAAAAATAAATAAAATAAAAAATAAAATAAAAAATAAAAGAGAGTTCTGCTGACGAGCCGTCTACAGCCTGATGAGATTAGCGTCCCATTTAAGGAAACCATCTTTAGAGATATCCGCATCCATGGCTCGCTCACCAGCTCCCCCGCGCAGGCAGCCCAAATGATTGACGCCGTAGCCAAGCACCGTATCTCCGTTACGACGAACCCAGTTTACGGCCTAGAAGCGATTCCCCAGCTCGTCGAGCTGTCACACGGCGGCAGGTTGCGGGGCAAAGGAATCGTCATTGTGGACCGGGCCCAAGTCGACGCGGAAAAGGAAAAAGGCGTGGAGTTGGTGTAAGAAATATGCCGTATATACGGCGGGATAGGCGGTCTTGTGGACATGTGAACGTGTGTGTGTGTGTAGATTCGTAGTTGAATGATCTCTTATGGCTCCAGAATAGATAATAGATGCATTCACCGGTGTGCCTTGATGCCTTGCGGGACCGGGCACTAGATAAACGGCCCGCCCTCCGCCAAAGACGATGACGTACGCAGAGGAAGTGGGGCCTGGGGGAGCCGCCACTAGGCCTCCAGCTCAGAGCTTGGTGGATTATAAGTATTTGCTTGCTGCCGTCTGACACTCTCCTCGCTCATCCTATTACTGTTTTTTCTTGTACCAGAAAAATTCTTCATTGTTGTAAACCAAATTTTATTGATCTCATCTTAATCCCTTTAATACCTCCTCTTCATACTGTAAATATGTCGGCAATCGGACACGTCAAGGTTGTACGAGGCGACGAGTTGCAGGTGAGCGGAGGGCAGACGGAGGGCATGACGCGGATGAACGCGATCACAGACATGTCGGATCAGCTGTGCAGCACAGGTGAGTAGACCTCATGGAGAGCAGGGGGACGCCAAGAGCGAGGGATCCGACAGTATCCGTCCGGATGGCGGCGGGCACGAGACGGACGGAAGTGCTGAGAGCGGGCGCAGTCATGATGGCGAAACCGCACACGGCCTCGGCCGTCCACCACCACGGCACCGAAGATACGACCGTCTACGCCGCCAAGGGGCACGGCTCCATCGTCAGCGACAGCGGCCGCACGCGCCAGGACCTCAAGCCCGGTGACTTTGCCCTCATCCCGGCGTTTACGCTGCACCAGGAGGTGAATGATGGCGACGAGGAGGTCGTGTGGATCATCACTCGCGGAGGACGCAATCCCGTCGTGCGCAATCTGGACGGCTGGCAAGACGGAGCGAAAGGCGACTAGCGAGGAGGTTGAGAAGAGACAAGAGTCCGGGGCTGTAAAATTAAAGGGTTTATTCCAAAGAAGAGATTGAAACATGGAGCAAGAGAGAGGCGCGGGGTGTTGCGGCGCAGGTGTGCTAACTATGGAGTCTTAAAGTCGACGGAAAGAGCTTGCCACAGGAATCCTCCGCTTCCCCAGGCGCCAAATGGACGCGCATGACGCCGTCACACAGGGTTCCTGTCGCACGGGAGATCCGCGTTCTCGCATCGCCCAGAGCCGCCGAGTTGCAGCAGCGCGTTGCGAGCCTGCGCCCTTTCATTGGCGCCCACCGACGCCCGCCTGTCGCTTGCGGGTCCGCGAATTGCTGCCACACGAGCGCGCAGCTCGCCGCCTCTGTGGTTCAGCCTGCAACCTCTTATCGCAGCACGACCTACCCGCATCATGATGGAGCAGGTTTTCAGAAAAAAATAAAAATCACCCTTCGCGTGGTGATAGTCACCTGGGCGTGGAGCGAGCGAGCCCAATTAACCCACCTCGTGCTCACTCAGCCTCGCGATATCCACCCTCAAAGGATGCCGTTTTCGTATAGAGCATCAACGGCCGAAAGAAATGCGGCGGCGCAGCCCTTGCCACAATCCATCTCCACTCGGCGCCAACCGGCAAATCCGGCCCCCAAGCTGCTATCAGTGGCTGCATCTCCCGCACACCCCCTGCACGCTTCCGTTTGCGCCTCTCGACGACGGTGCAGGCGGCACGCTGTGCCCTCTTCCTTCTCGAGCCGCCAGCCCATTCTCACGCTGCACCTGCCTTGCACGTCCGCCATGAGCGCCCTGCGTGTGATAAAATGCGCTGTGGGGCCGCTTCTTTGCACACCCTCGTTTGGGACACGGCTTGCTGCCTGTTGGCATGGGTCCACAAATAGGACTGCATTGAAGAAGCATGTGCTGCTCTCGCGCGCGCTGTTACCTATATATTCGCTAGTGTACAACGGCGGAGTTGTGCTATTCATCATTTTTCTTTTTATTCTAGTAAAGGGGCTTTGTTCCAATCCAGGGTGGTCCTTCGCTTTATAACTAAGTCTGTGTCGCTCTTTTGTTTGTTCTCCAGGCTTTACAGTTCCCAGACGTAGTCATGCATTTGCATCCTCTCTCGGTGACCGTGGCTCTTGGTGCACTTGCGGGCAGGACGTTCGCGCAGGATGCAGATTATACTAAATATGTGGATCCTTTGTAAGTCTTCTTCTTTAGTCCAAACAATCTTTCCCTCTAGAGTTGGTGCAGAACCACGGAAGGGTGGGAGATGCAATAGTATCTTTGGTGAAGAAGGGTTATTAAAGAAGTCTCCGAGCCTCCGCTGGAGTTTGGTTATCATTACCTTCATTGTGCTGATCAACACACTAGTCATGGAACCGAAAATGGGGGCAACATGTTTCCCGGCGTCGTACCCGCCCCCTTCTCAGTAGTTAAGCTCGGCCCGGACGTATCATCAGGTACGACCGATGCCTACTCAGGCTACCTGCCCACAGGCAACGTGACGGGCTTCAGCATGATGCACGAGTCGGGCACCGGCGGCGCGCCCAAGTACGGCGTCGTGTCGCAAATGGGTGTCGTGGGTGCCGTGTCTAATCCGTTGCTGGACCTGTCAGCTGCCCGCGCTGTCGAGGACCAGGCTCGCGTTGGCTACTACCGCTCCGAGCTAACTACTGGTGTTGTCGTCGACCTGGCTGGAACTAACCATGCTGGCTTTTATCACTGGACTTTTCCACGTGCTGATACCCACAGCATTGTCGTCGATGTGAGCCATGTGCTGCCAAGCTTCCGTGGCTTGGGTTGGGGCCAGCAGTATACGGGTGGTAACTTTGAGGTTTTTCCTGACGGCCATTACGAGGGCAATGGCACATATAATGGCGGCTGGAACCTCTGTATGTTGACCTCGGTAACAATACTTTGTTTTTTTGTGTTAACGATGTATAGCTCCGGACTGGACCATTCATTTTTGCGGCCGTTTCGACATTACCCCTAGCAGTAGTAAGACGTTTTCGGGCGTTGACCAGGCACTCTCACAGTATGGCGAGAGTGCCAGTGTGTCAGGCACCGAGCGCCTTGGTGGCGTCTTCACATTCAACGAAACTTCCGTCTCGTCTCGAGTCGGTATTTCTTTCATCTCTTCTGCCAAGGCCTGCGCCTTCATTGATTCTGAGATCCCCGCGGCGACGGGCTTGGATTCACTCGTCCGGGCCTCCCAGGAAACATGGAACGCAGAGGTCCTTCGCAAGGTCGAGACCAGCTCAACCAATGCCACTTTGTTGACCCAGCTGTACAGCAGTCTTTACGGCATGCACCTGATACCCTCGAACCGCACGGGCGAAAACCCGAAGTGGGAGAGCAGCGAGCCGTACTACGACGATATCTTCACCTTCTGGGACCTGTTCCGGTGCACGACGGCGTTGATTCAAGTGCTCCAGCCAGAGGCGTACGAGGAGCAGATACGCAGTCTGATTGACATCTGGCGGCACGACGGCTGGATGCCCGATGCGCGTAGCAGCAACTTCAACGGACGTGTGCAAGGCGGCTCCAACGCCGACAACGTGCTGGCGGACGCGTATGTTAAAGGGGTTAGAGGGGCGGTGAATTGGGAGGATGGATTCAGTAAGCATCGCTGAGAACCCTAGGCGTATGGTGGTTAACTCTCTGACAGAAGCTATGCTCGCGGATGCTGAGAAGGCTCCCCCTGGTAACAACGACCCCTCGACTGCGCCAGACACGTCTTCCACGGCACAAGGCCGCGGCGCGTTGCCTGACTGGATCAGGTACGGCTATATCACGCCCGCATACTCCCGGGCCGTTTCTCGCGCCGTTGAGTACTCAGCAAACGACTTTGGCCTTTATCAAGTCGCGACGGGGTTAGACGACACAACTTCGGCGGCTAAGTACCTGAACCGCAGCCGCAACTGGCGTAATCACTGGAATCCAAACGCGTCGTCCCGAGGCTTTACCGGGTTCGTTGTGCCGCGGAAAGCGGACGGCAGCTTTGTCGCACAAGATCCACAGGGGTGCGGGGGCTGCTACTGGGCGGATCCGTACTACGAGGACAACTCGTGGACGTACAGCTTCAATGCGCACCACGACATGGCGACGACAGTGGAGTTGATGGGCGGGACATCGCGGTTCGTAGCGCGGCTGGACGAGTTTTTTGATGCTGCCCTCTACAACCCGGCCAACGAGCCCGGCTTCACGACACCATACCTGTACAACTTCGCCGGGCGTCAAGATCGCACAGTGGCGCGGTTGCGCGACATTGCGGGGCAGCGATACGGGGCGGGGCGGGACGGCATCCCGGGAAACAGCGACGCGGGGGCGATGCAGTCATGGATCCTGTGGAACATGCTGGGCCTGTACCCGGTGACGGGGCAGACGACGTTTCTGGTGGGCAGCCCATGGTTTGAGCGCGTAGCCGTGGATCTGGGCAACGGTCGGCGGTTGGTGGTGAGCAGTAGTGGCGGCGAAGAGGGCCCCTACGTACAGAGCCTGCGGGTGAACGGGCAGCAGTGGGATCGCGCGTGGGTGGCGTGGGAGGATGTGTTTGCGCGCGGAGGAGAGATGGAGTTTGTGCTGGGGGCGCAGGCAGCTGAGTGGGCGACGGGTGACTTGCCGCCAAGCCCAGCGGTGTCCGGATCCGGGTCGGTGGGCAGCGGAGGTGGAGGTGGTGGGCAGAGGAAATGACGCCGCCAAGTCCGCGGAAAAGAAGTGGTGGTGGTCCTCGTGCTGGTGGGTTTCTTGGCGTTTGCACGCGTGGTCGAGGCCTGGACCCTGGGTGGCGGAAGCGGTGAGAAGACGCGAAACCCTCGTCGACGACGCGTCCATCCTGAGGGCTGTTGCTAGAGTGACTTCGTCTACCCCAGGATTTCGTCTGATAAGGCGCAATCTGCCACTGCTTTCCCATTGGCCGCAAGCGGCGCATGCTCTTTCAGGTCATTCCGCTACGCCTCTCTTGGCCCGCCCGCTGCTTGTCAGCCAGTCGCTTCCGGTCCCTACCCCAGAGAGGCGTTAGCCATGGCCGCCTGGACCACGAGCCCGAGCGTCCCGTGGGTTGAGTATATACGGGTCCCGCTGGCTCACAGGCTGAACCGTCCACCTTCCCGCCCTACAAAATCACCCGTCTCTCTCCCAGCCTGGTTTGTTTGACCACCATGGCTTCATCCTCGCTCACCTCAGCAGCGGCAGCGGCCACGGCCACCGCCTCCAACCGTGCCACTCCTCAAGGCGGCATCCTCGAGGGCTCCAATCCCACCCACTACAACCCTAAGGACCCTATTATCATCTTCATCATCCAGGCCGGTATCATCATCATCTTCTGCCGCTTGCTGCACTACCCGCTGCAGCGCCTGCGCCAACCTCGCGTCATCGCCGAGGTCATCGGTGGCATCTTGCTGGGCCCTTCCGTCTTGGGCCGCATCCCACATTTCACGGAGACCATATTCCCCACCGCCAGCATGCCAAACTTGAGCCTCGTCGCAAACCTGGGACTGGTGCTGTTTCTGTTCCTTGTCGGCCTCGAGGTTGACCTGAGATTCTTGGTCAGCAATTGGCGCGTTGCTTTGAGCGTTGGCTTGGCGGGCATGGCTCTGCCGTTTGGTCTTGGCGCTGCTATTTCGTATGGCCTGTATCATGAATTCCGATCTGAAGAGGGAACAGTGCCCGTGAACTTTGGTGTCTATCTGCTCTTTATTGGTGTGGCTATGGCTATCACGGTATGTATGTCTTCGTAAAGGGACTGGGCGCGAATTCCATTGCTGACTTCGATAGGCTTTTCCTGTCTTGTGCAGAATCTTGACCGAATTGAAGCTCATCACAACACCTGTGGGTGTTATCGTACTCTCAGCCGGTGTGGGCAATGACGTCGTGGGTAGGCTGAACCTCTTTTCTTCCCCAGACCTGTTCTTTGCAGCTAATCCTTGTCAGGCTGGGTATTGCTCGCACTCTGCGTGGCTCTCGTAAATGCTGGCACCGGCCTCACGGCACTCTGGGTGCTACTTACTTGTGTAGGATACTCGCTTTTCCTAGCATTTGCCATTCGTCCCGCCTTCATGTGGGTACTCGTAAAGACACGCAGTCTTCAGGATGGCCCAAGCCAGGGTGTCGTCACCTTGACCCTCCTTCTGGCCTTGACGTCGGCCTTTTTCACCGGCGTCATCGGCGTGCATCCTATCTTCGGTGCCTTCATGGTCGGACTGATCTGTCCCCACGAGGGAGGCTTCGCCATCAAAGTCACTGAGAAAGTCGAGGACTTGGTCAGCGCGTTGTTCCTACCGCTCTACTTTGCGCTGTCGGGTCTCAGCACAAACCTTGGACTGCTTGACAGTGGCATGGTGTGGGCGTACGTCATCGGTGTCATTGCAGTTGCTTTCTGCGCCAAGTTTATTGGTGCGACTCTGGCTGCTCGCGCTAATGGGCTGGTCTGGAGAGAGTGCTTCACTATCGGTTCTTTGATGAGTTGCAAGGGCTTGGTTGAGTTGATTGTCCTGGTGAGTGCACAGGGAAGTAAACTACAGACTACAAATCACTGACCGATATGTTCTAGAACATTGGACTTCAAGCGAAGATTCTCAGCCAAAGGACGTTCACTATATTCGTCGTCATGGCCTTGGTTACCACCTTCGCTACCACTCCGTTAACCATTGCGCTGTACCCTCCTTCCTACCAGAAGAAGCTTGAGGCATGGAAGCGGGGCGAAATCGACTGGGACACTGGTGCTCCGCTCACTGGCCACGATGAAGCCAGCGGCGCCGACAGCCTTGCCTATGAAAAACTTGAGGGCACCAAGGTCCAGCGCATCCTCGTCTACTTGCGTTTAGATAATATGTCCGCCCTGCTCCCCTTCGTCTCCCTTTTCGGAGGTGAACCTCGGCAATCCAAGCCCGCTCACCATCCATCGATGAGCGCTGGAGACGAGCAATCCGGAACGCCACCCAAGAGGCCCGTCCAGGCTCACGGCATGCGTCTTCTGGAGCTAACCGAGCGTAGCTCCTCCGTCATGAAGGTATCGGAGGCGGAGGAGTACGGGATTCATGACCCTATTGTCAACACCTTCCGGACATTTGGCTACCTCAACAATCTCGCCATATCCGGAGAGGTCGCTGTTATCCCAGAAACTTCGTTTGCCGGCACTCTTGTCTCCAAGGCCTCGGATGCATCCTCCGACATGATCATCCTCCCCTGGAGCGAGACGGGTAATATGTCGGAGCTATCCGTCATTTCCCATGAAGCAGTGCGGCACAAGCTCGACGCCAATACGTATAACAGCTTCGTAACTTCAGTCCTCGACAATGCAACCTGTGCAACCGCCATATTCATCAACGGTGAATTTGGTGGTTCAGCCTCCAAAGAGCGTCAGAAGATCAGTCGCTCGGTTTCACACCTCTCGCTGCGCTCTGAGAACCGCAGCACTGTTGCCCAGGCGCCCTCGAACCGCTCGCATCACGTATTCTTCCCCTTCTTCGGCGGAGCCGATGACCGCGCCGCCCTTCGCCTCGTCCTTCAGCTCGCCGAACACCCGGACGTTACGGCCACAATCGTGCATTTTGAGGCGCCGCGCACCCACGCACGTGCTTCGTCGGCCAGCACCGAAGCATCTGGGCCTGTTACCGGCTCGCACAAACACCCTGCTGCTGCGACGGCGGCGGCACACGATGACGCGGAGGCGGACGCGGCTTTCTTCTCGTCACTGCGCGCTTCGCTGCCTGCGTCCCTAACGTCACGCGTGGCGTTCGACGCTGTTACGACTTCGCTCCCATCGGATTCTCTCACGACTGCAGCGCTGGAGCGCGCGCGGGAGGAACTGGGCCAGAATCCTCGCAATGCGGGGGATGTGGTTGTGTTGGGGCGGCGGCGGCGGGATGGCGTGGAGCTGGAAGAGGTAGATGATGGGGTGAGTGTACAAGCGCAGAATTGTTTGGGCGTGTTGGCGGAGAAGGTGGTGAGAGTGGGGGTGAGAGCTAGTGTGTTGGTTGTACAGGCGAGGGGGGCTGCTGCGTCATGAGTCATGATTAATGGGCTAATGGATTGAGGGGGGAGATATGATGGTTGACTGATGGGGGATCCATCGGACGGACTGGTAATGAGTTAATGATATATGATATGGGTGATTGATTGGAGTCAAGAATGTGGGGTATGTGGTTAGTCCTTTTCTTTCTGAAAGCCCGTCACTGTTAAGCGAGTGGAAAGATACAAGCAGTCCTTGTAGTATACTCCTTGTCTAGCTATAAGCCTAAGTCCTGTATACTACTGAAAGGTCTTAAAGCGCATATATTTGTACATACTATAATAATTAGCTGGATTAATTTTCCCATTCCATATAAGTGTGTGTTTAAATCTAATTAGGCGATGAATCTTGACGGATGTTAACCTTTCCGTTTCCCGTCTGTCCCGAGGGCTGTTGGTCTGCAAGCCATTTCGGAAGTCGGAAATCGGAAGTTGGTATGGCGGTACCTCCGCATGATGCCCCACGGGGATGCCTCCTCTCGCTTAGCCTCCGATCCCTGCGCCCCGCTCCTGGCGGGGGTTTGTCGTCATACCTTTCACCGACCACTGCTCATCTCACCATCTGACTTGCTTTCGGTGAGAATTGTGCCGAACGCTGTAGTTTAACAGCTGATCATCACGGTTCGGCCGTATACCTAACCATCACAACGGGTACAGAAATCCGAAGACAGGGAAATACCATGAGCTTTACTTGGCAAGAAAATTATGGAAAAAGAGCATAAATCATGATGTTAGCCGGCAGCAAGAGCTTAATGACTGGCACTGCTTTGCTGCTTTTCTTTTTTGTCACCATGCGTCTAACCTCTACTTTAGTTGGGACAACACTCCTTGTCTCCACATCTTCGGCTGTGCCTTACAGCGAATACATCCTAGCGCCCAGCTCCCGAACCATCATCCCCCCGGCTATTAACCAAATCAATGGTACTGTCCGAGATGCTGCCTCTCTGGTAAACGGTACCCGCGGGCAAGCCGTATTCAACGGTAGCTCGGCAGTCACATTTGACTTCCAGAAGAACATCGGCGGTCTCGTCACCATTGAGGTTGGAAGCTCTTCTTCGCCGGACGCTTTTATTGGTGTGACCTTTACGGAATCGAATCTCTGGATCAGCGGTGAGGCAAGCGATGGTACAGCAGACGCTGGGCTTGACTCCCCTATCTGGTTTCATGTTGGCAACAGACCTGGGAATTATACGGCCCCCAGGGAGAATGACCGTGGTGCATTCCGTTATCTCAGCCTGGTGAGTAATACCTCGGCCACGGTGGAGGTGAAAAGCGTCAGTGTCAACTTCACTGCTGCACCTCTCCAAGACTTGCGGGACTACAAGGGTTATTTCCACTCGGACGATGAACTGCTGAACAAGGTCTGGTATGCGGGAGCATACACCAATCAGCTTTGCACAATCGATCCAACTTACGGCGATTCTTTGCCGTGGCTCAACATTATTGATTCTGATACGAACATCAGCCTGCCTCAGACGAACGATTGGTATAATAACCACACAATCACCAACGGCAGCAGTACCATCACCGATGGTGCCAAGCGTGATCGCCTTGTATGGCCTGGCGACTTGGAAGTTGCTTTGCCTAGCATATTTGTTAGCACGCATGACCTGTACAGTGTCAAGACGGCCATCGAAGCCTTGTACCAACTCCAGGACCCTTCTACAGGCGAGCTTCCGTACGCTAGCAATCCTTTCCACAGCAAGAAAAACTCGCACAGCTTTACATATCACTGCCATAGCCTTATTGGCCTAGTACTCTACTACCAGTACTCTGGTGACCTCGAGCTTCTGGCCAAATATTGGGACCAGTTCAAGTTTGGCCTACAATGGGCAATTAGCAGTATTGATTCATCAGGACTGGCTAACATCACCGCCACCGCTGACTGGTTGCGTCCGGGAACAAGCTCGCACGTCAGTATTTTCTCAGTCAATTCTTATGCCTACTGTTGACAATCTTTAAAACAGAACATCGCGGCCAACGCCATCTTATACCACACCATCAACCGAGCCATCGAAGTCGCGGCCATCTTAAATGATACTGCCCACGCCGCAAACTGGACCACCACAGCCGCACGAATCAAAACGACCGCCAACACGCTCCTCTGGGACGAATCCGCTGGCCTCTACCGGGACAACGAAACGACGACGCTCCACCCACAAGACGGCAACGTCTGGGCCATTAAAGCCAACCTCACCACTCCCTCCCGCGCCACACGCATCTCATCCTCGCTCCGCGCGCGCTGGGGCCCCTACGGCGCCCCCGCCCCCGAAGCCTTCAACACGACCATCTCGCCCTTCATCGGCAGCATCGAGCTCGACGCGCACGTCTTAGCCGGCAATCCCGTCGCCACGCTCGACCTCATCCGCTTGCAATGGGGCTACATGCTCACGGACCCGCGCATGACGCAGAGCACGTTTATTGAGGGCTACAGCACCGATGGCGCGACGACCTACGCGCCGTATAGCAACACGCCGCGCGTCTCGCACGCACATGGCTGGTCCACAGGGCCCACGGCCGCGTTGATGTTTTGGACTGCGGGGTTGAGGGTCGTAGAGGCTGCGGGGAGACGGTGGCGCGTTGAGCCGTTGATGGGGGACTTGCGGAGTGTGGAGGCGGGGTTCGTAACGCGGCTCGGGTCGTTTGCATGTGAGGTTGTGAGAGGGAACGGGACGGCGGGGGCGGTGGAGAAGTTTTCGTTCGTGGCGCCGGAGGGGACGAGTGGGGATGTGAAATTGCCGGCGGGGATGGAGGGCGTGTTGGTCGAGGAGGGAGGTGAGTGCGTGAAGTTAGAGGGTGGTATTGCCAGCGGAGTGGCGGGTGGGAAGTGGACGTTGGAGGTGGAGTGAGGTTGGTGCTTTTTCGTATGTTATGGCAAAAGTTCTTGGAAATATATATTGAGCAGGCATGTTGTCTAGTTGAATTATACGAATGGCGTGTTCAATGCAGTGATAAATGGCTAGAGCTAAGTTGAAGTGAGGGCATATTTGTCTGTTACGTCGACACTGATACACCACGGAGTGATAGTGAAACGTAGCAGACGCTGGTACTGATACTGACACTGCCAATCACACCAGTATGCCTACAGCGCTAATTTCTGGTGTTCTTGATTAATCAAATCTCTGTATTCTATATCAACCAAGAAAGAAATCCTTTAGCTCGGATATATATATGCTCTTTACATAACCCCAGGGACCGACCAGTCAAACAAGAAGGGCTATGTGCCTTCAAAACAACAAAAAGTCAACTATGATCGCTTCTTAAAGACAGTAAAGCATCAAATCTCACCGGCTATGTCTGCCAGTGAAGGCCATATCGATCTTTGCCAGTAACTCCAAAGCAGAAACTAAGTACGGAAATACAGCCAGGGATCGATGGAGACGGCTTCCTTGTAGCCTCTTAGCGCATCGACGTAGTAGTCTCTTTTGCGATCGCTATACTGCGGCTGATAGTACTGGAAGTTTCCCCTGATGGGCTGCTGCGCGAAATTTTTACCGGTCGAGCGGACGTGGAAATCGGGCCCGAGTCTGTAGTGTGCGAACCCGGAGCTCGGGTCTACCCAATACTCGGCGGGGTTGTAGGATATGTAGTACGAGCTGGTGCGGGCGATTCTGGGGTTTTCACTGTAACGCTGCATTATCGTGGTTGGCTGGGGAACCTCGGTGATGGCTAGAAAGTATGAGGGGTTCGTGTGTACTGCTGTAGGTGAGAGATGTGGCTGGTGGTTTCTTGTCTGGGAAAGACCAGGAGCAGAGACGTCTGCGGAAGTATTTATATGTAGGCTTCACTGGTGCCAGAGAAGGAAATACATGGCAGGCACACTGGTCGGGTGTGTGGGACTGATGACCTTTTGAGGCTGCATCTCCTACAGCTCAGGTTCAGGTTTGCTAGACCTAGAGATGTCGAGCTACATATCTGAACGCTTGTGATGAGGAGGCATCGTAACGCATGCCCCCGCTTGTCGCGTGCCCTTGGAAGTCACGCCAGCTTGATTGTAGAACGAACTAGCTATAACTGCGATTAGGAAGTATAACGGAAGTGTAACACAGTTGATAGGCTATACTCGTTGATCGTCCATGTCCGGTCTACAGTAACGTGTGCATCTTTGGTGCAGGCACAAATATAGTCGTTTCTCTTTTATCGCTCCAAGAAGCTCCAAATCATGATTTATGTCTCACATTAGCTCATTTAGAAATCAGCCTTGTCAATTTTTGAGATACTGTTTATATAATGGAATGAATCGGCCTAGTCTGCAAAGACAGCCAAGATAAAATATGTTGAACCGCCCGGTGCTGTTTCGCTACCCGGTGGCATATTAAGGTAGTCCTGTCCCTGTTCAGAGACTTGATGGACTAGTTGAATCTGCAAAAAAGATCCTGGCGACATCAAGCAGAAAAATTCTGTTCCGTGTCATGACCAAGAAGCCAGAAAGCGCAATTATGAGTTAAGATATCGCTCACGGAGACGTCAGGACGGAGTAGGCAAGTGGCAACAAGCTCTATCCAATAAGAATGAGCATATTGTTCCTAAGTTTCTTGTTCGATTAGCTTGATAGGGCTGAATCACATGCCTGCACGCAAGGGGGAGAAGGGAGCAGAAGGAAAATCCTAGATAGGAAGCCCAGTACCAAAGGGTGTCCCAAATTGCGCCAGCCATGGGAGAGAGGTCATGCGCGCTGACACGTGAATGTCGCATTCTCGACAAGAGAAGTACTCTGGGTTATGTGCAGGGCGCCTGTAACCAGTAACCAAGTTGCCCTACGAAGACGAAAATAGCCAAAGCAATGGTGCGACGCTACTCCTACGGGTTCACATGAAGAAATATTCAGGCAGGCAGGGTATGCAGGTTAGGGTTTCCAGATGACCCTCCCCAAGATATGCCCGGATGACTGGCATACACCCATGTCAGCACCTTGTGTCCGGATTGAAACAAGCAGGGGTTTGGATGGTGGGCTCGATGAAACGACAGACAACCTGTTCGCACGCGCTCTCACATGCCAGAGCCAGACGCCAGCTGGTCAAAAAAAACCAGACACGCCAGAGAAGCCAAAATACTTGCGCCTGGAAGTCCGTCCGTCAGGCCTTCTCTCCGTTCCTGAATAGACCCACGTCGGACTTGGTGACGCAGCAGTGGAAGTTGGCGAATGAAAAGGCGCTGCGTATTCTCTATTTTCGCGTTGGCCGAACGCTGCGTAGCCCCCCGGTCCACATGCCCTGGCACACAGCAGGTCAGATGCAGCGCCTAGTTATTACATATGACAGATATGTTCTGATGGCTGGCTGGCTTTGGGTGTCCTCGTGCGTGTGTGCACACACAAAGGCAGACTAATTTCTTCCGACGTGCCCGACTCCATCATTTCGACGCGTGACCCACTGGATCGACCGTCCGTCCGCCGCGGCCCTTCGTCACCGACTCTCTCCCTCTGCTGTAATTCGATATAAACCACTCCGCGCTCCACCCTCCCCCCTCCGCATTGCTTCTTACCCCACACTCTGTCCCTCCGCTTTTCGCTAGGCCGCTGACGGCCAAGACTTTGCGAGGCCGATCGTGCTTATGGCTCCACGTCCATGCTCATGTCCTTCCTCCAAGACGCTCTCCTACCCGGCGCGACCACAATCCATGCCAAGAATGGACCTGCCTCCCCGAGCAGACTGAGGGCCGCTCCGCGCCGTGGCGGGCTGCTATCTCCTTTGGTTCGGATCGTCAAGGAACGTGCCGGGGTGTTTGAAACTTTCCTTGGGCCGTCACGCCACGAGGACCCGGCGGCTTCGACTCAATGGGAAGATGGGAGCCGCAGGCAGATCCTGTATCTGCGCATGCAGGATGTGAGTGGAGCAACGGCTTGCATGCCCAGGTTCGCTTACTGACCGAAGGCTTTCTGCAGGCTAAAAATTACGACGCGTGGCGCGCCGCTGCGCTGGAACTCGACCAGCTCGAAGGCAACAATGACTGGAAACACCAAAAGGAATCGTGCGAATACGACTATGAGCTCGTCGAGTCCCGGCTGAAGCAGCTGGACGAGGCGCGCATCGAATGCGATGTCCATCGCATGTTGTTCCTCATCCGCACCGCCTTGACGAGAGGCCTCGGAGGCATGGGTCACCTGGAATTGTACAAGCACTCGCACATTGGAACGAAAGCTTTGATCGAGCGCTACATCGATTCGGCCAAAGAGACCCTTTGCGCGCTGCTGAATATAACGGCAAAGCAAGGTGAAAACGGCTTGGACCCTCGTTATGTCCTTGAGCAACTTCTGGCCACGCGACAGTCGTTCGGACGGAGCGCATTGCTGCTCTCTGGAGGCGGAACATTTGGAATGAACCACATTGGGGTCATCAAGAGCCTTTGGGAACAGAAGCTTCTTCCGCGCATCATATCGGGTGCTTCCGCCGGCAGTATAGTCTGCGCGGTCCTTTGCACCAGGACGGATGAGGAAATGCCACAGATCTTGGAAGAGTTCTGCTATGGCGACTTGGAGGTCTTTGAAAAAGAAGGAGATAGAGGCGTCCTGAAAAAGCTCGGAAGATTCCTCAAGTACGGTGCCGTTTTCGACATTTCTCATCTGAGCCGGGTCATGCGCAATCTTCTGGGCAACATGACATTCCAAGAAGCGTACAATCGCACCCGGCGGATCCTCAATATCACCGTGTCCAGTGCCAGCATGTTTGAGCTTCCCAGGTTGTTGAACTACATTACCGCGCCAAATGTAATAATCTGGTCTGCCGTGTAAGTACCAATGCTTTGTCTTGTTTTCTGCACAATGCTAACGCCAAAAAGGGCTGCATCCTGTTCTGTGCCGTTAGTGTTTTCTGCTGCATCGCTTCAAGCAAAGGACCCGAAAACAGGAGAGCAAGTGCCCTGGGATCCGACACCGGGACGATGGATAGACGGCTCGGTTGACAACGACCTTCCTATGACACGACTTGCAGAGATGTTCAACGTCAACCATTTCATTGTCTCACAAGTCAACCCACACGTTGTGCCCTTCCTTATGAAAGAAGAAGGCGCGATTGCACACGAGGCTCAGCAAGATTCAGCTGTTGCGGCTGGACCAAGCTGGCTTCACAACATGGCCAATCTTGCCAAGGGAGAGGCATTGCATCGGCTTCATGTGTTGGCCGACCTTGGAATCTTTCCCAACTATTGTACCAAAGCCAGGTCAATACTCAGCCAACGATATGCCGGAGACATAACAATTTTCCCGGCCATCTCATACGCCCAATTCCCCCGAATTTTGACCAATCCGACGCCTGATTTCATGGAACAAGCCATGATCTGTGGCGAGAAGGCTACTTGGACTAGAGTCAGCAGAATTCAGAACCACTGCGCGATTGAATTGGCACTGGACGATGCTGTACGCCAACTTCGCGCGAGTGTCGTGTTCAGTCCCAGTCAGGTTGATCTTCGAAGCAACGTTCTTGGCCGACCTAGGTCATCACATTCGGAATCCGGGCGAGGCAGAGGAAGGACGGTCTCTAGAGATCGACACCACCAAATGCTAAGTGAAGAGTTTGAGCGTAAATTTCCTGGGCGTCCAATTACCCTGCGTCTTCAAAATCCTATCATCGACAATGCTGGAAAAGCAACATTTCGCTCTCCCCGGAACAGCGACTCGGTGATCCCGCAAGCTCCTGCCCCGGCCCCGGATATCATCTCTTCTTCGGCCGAAGAGGAACCTATCACGAGCGACAGCGAACAAGATGGAGCATCTGTATCATCCATGGATTCGCCTCCTTCGCCTCTACCTCACGTATGGCAACCAGCAGATCTGTTCGCTTCTGTCTCACAACCTAGCACCCCGAACCTTGGCAATCGCTCCTCTTTGCGTAGCCCTTCGTCCCCTTTCCTCGCCATGACCCAGACGCCTACCGCGGCTACACAGCCCAGCTCTCCGGAACGTATTTACAAGCGACTATTCCATCCGCCGGTTAAGACGCAATCGCAACTTGAGGACTCGCCGGATATCCCTGATGACAAGCAGAAGAACATGCCGAACGAAGGAAGACGACGCGGCAGCGGAAGCGGCTTGCAAATCGACATCAGCGGCACAAGAGGCATGTTGATGCGTAGAAAGAAAAGCACGTATAGCAGTCTCCGAGACTCTACTCTGCCGGGACCAGGAATTAACAGAGCAGTATCTGAGGATTTCAGATTTCACACCAAGGGCGACTTTGCTTAGTTTTCTTGCCTTCACATCTGTTTCATTTTCACAAGCATAGACAGCATCATGGCTTTTCGTTTGTTCCTCTCCTATGATAGAGGCAGCATTGTTCTCCGGTCATAGCCGTCACTGGCATTTGACAGGTACTATTTTTTTTTAATCATCTATTGTTGCAGCGATGAACGCAGGTTCATGGAGTTTTAGGGCCTCTGGCAGACCACTGTCTTTTTCTTAACTAAAGGCTGCCAGCGTTTTTTGTTTCTTGTATGTATATGCAGCTACGGCCTTTGAAAGAGGGGGGTAGATACATAGTCTGAGGAGAGACATAACGCTCACGCGACCTACATAGCAAGGAATTTACAGTAGCCGTACGGCTTCCTATTTTCATACTGATTTTAGCAAACGTGCCTGCATTTTGAAGAAATCTCCTGCCAACCAGAGAGCGCTTCCACGTCTTGACGAACAATATCACAAACCCACACCACCTGCCCACCGAACCAGCCCTTAATATAGCCCAACTCCAACAACCTTCACTCCCCCATCAGCACCATCACCGTTCCCCGTCTCTCCCAGGCAACACCCTCGTCGGCGTCTCCCCGCCCACCGAATCCCGCGCCAAGACCTTCCGCTGCTCGCCCTGCACCAGCCGCTGATACAGGAAATAGCTCGTGACGATGGCGATGGGCGCGGCGACAATGGCCGCGGTGATGCGCCGCGCCGCGGGGCGGTACTTGGCGGGCAGCGGCTCGACCTCCTTCCACTGGCGCGAGGAGGGCGCGCCTGTGCCGGTCTGGCCCGGCCGCGCCGAGAGCTGGTGCACGGCGAAGGAGTTGAGGGATTTGGGGGAGAGGTTGGCGAGGATGGAGGGTTTGGCGGTCGTGGGCGCGGGTTTGTTGCTGGGTTTGCTCGTCGGTGCGGAGGCTCGCGCCGTGCCGCTGGGTTGCCGCGCTTTGCTGGACATGGCGCGGGTGGTGGCTCTGGGTGCGCGGTGTTGGTTCAGAGGCGTTTGGTGTCGAGCGCGGCCTTTGGTGTGGTTGTGACGTGATTGAAGATGGCGGCGCGTAAGTCCGATGCGATCGATGCTTGTTGGGCGGGAATAGTATGAGGGTATAGCTCCAAAATATGCGATAGAGCGTTTCGGCTTGTTTGGAGGTTCTGTAGAGGATGTGGTAGCTGTGGGTTTGCGTGCGGTCGTGGGAGTCCGAGGTGGCTTCGGAGGTTTCTGCGGGGAACAAGGCATCTCAAATTCCGGGTAGCGATGGTGTGTGCTACCACTCACGCCAGCTATTCACGGTGCCACGATCGAGTCATAACTTTGAGAGAAAAACGCGGTCATATTTGAATATTCTCTGTCAAATCCCAAAATGTTGCTTCTATCGCACGTAAACGCATACAACGGAGCCATAACTAGCCACAAACAGTTAAAAAAAATAAAAAATAAAAATAAAAATAACTTTGGTCTAATCAACCTACACCGAACAAATGCTATCTCGCAATGCAATGAACAAGAAATACATATTAACATGTCAAAAGCTTTTGCTTTTCTATCCAGTCATCTCAACGGGTCCGTGGTGCCGGAAGCACCCTGGCTACAGCTTCAATAGGCCGCAGGAGCCTTCTCACAGCGAGGAGATCGTCCAGGGCTTCTTCCTGTTTACCCAACGGATGTTCGCGCCAGAGAGGGTGTTCGAAGTATTTACTCAGCTGGACCAGGTCCCCTATGGACAGTTAGTATGGTGATCCAACAAGCACAGGGTTGTGAAGATAATAAAGCATTATTTGCTTGAGAGTTGCCCATACTTCTCATCGTTTTGATTTGAGAACGCCTTGGCCATGGCATCCAGTCGCTCCCTAACACCAGAAAGTACATTGACCTTCTCTGTCTGGGTCAAGTTGCGATGGTTGGTTTCATAGCGCTTAAGTTGTTGCGCTAAAGGAGATTGGTATGCGCGCTTTTGTTTTGAGATCTCTGCGCGCAGTGCAACGGCCGTTTCCTCAACAGTTTTTGCGCGAGTACGGAAGGATTGGCGCTGAGCGGCTCGCCTAGCGGCTTTGGTATTGGTGGAACTGGGGGTGTTGCGTGTTGCCTTGGGAAGGGAGGTAACATTAAGGGTTTCCATTGCGGAAGTGTTTGTGTGGGTTTGGAGAGGTAGAAAGGAGACTGGGATATCTTTCTAGTGGGGATGTTCGTGAAGAGAAACTGAGTGCAGTGTGAGAGGCTGCTCTTGGGATTTTATAGAGCTGTAGGGTTGGAAAATCCATGGGCAAAAGTACAATAGCTTCCGTTGTCGAAAGTCGAAAGAATGGCTCCACCCACACAACCCTTGGTAGACGTCTAACGGTTCCCGGGGGACAGCAAGATCCACGAGAGGAGTCGGATGTCAAATCCGTACCGCTACGTTACCTAGCTACAAGAGGCGTAGGTGTGTATAACGAAATGCATGTCCAGCTTTCGTAGTCATACGAGCGCTACTTTTCAGTTCGGAAAAAAACCACTCCCTTCGCGGAGACATGTGATGAGGCCATGAAACTGGAAACCGGAGGTAGTTGGCTCTTGTCCTCATGTGGATGACAGGCCATTCCATGTATTCCTAGCAGTAGCCCAGTGGGCAAACATGCTGTCAAATATACATGTAGCTCGCAGGAATATATAGGTGGGGACAGCGCCACCTCTGTCCGACCGTACAAAAGATGTAGCTCAAACAAGCCATCGCATTTCACCATGATTTCCTAGCTCTTTCTGTTCTTTCTGCTCTTTCTGTTCTTTCTGCTCTTTCTGTT